AGAGAAATCAACGGCTGATATTCCTCCGGGAAGCCATGGCTTTCCGGTTATCGGAGAAACACTTCAGTTCATGCTTTCCGTTAACAGCGGCAAAGGCTTCTATGAGTTCGTCCGTAGCCGCCGTATCAAGTAACCACAAGAGCCTCTAGACTATTTAGAATGTTTTCAACTCATGTACTTTTGGACTTTTAAGTAAAAGTATTATATTACAGGTACGGAAGTTGCTTTAAGACAAGATTGTTTGGAGAGACGCACGTGTTCCTGTCTACGACTGATTCAGCTCGGGCTGTTTTGAATAATGAGTCAGGGATGTTCACGAAACGGTACATAAAGTCCATAGCTGCGCTTGTAGGTGACCGGAGCCTTCTTTGTGCTTCTCAACACCATCACAAGATTCTCCGTAGCCGTTTTATCAACTTGTTCTCCAAAAAATCGACGGCTCTGATGGTTAGACACTTTGATGAACTCGTCGTGGATTCGCTTAGCGGATGGGAGCACCGTGGTACAGTGGTCTTGCTCACAGATTTGCTTCAGGTTTGTATTACATACGTTGCACAATGGTTTGAATAGTAGTGGGCTTGTTTATAAAACCTTTTTCCTTATGAGAATAGTTCGGCCCAATTTGGCCCATTTATTACGTTATTCTACTCTTTTTTTGGTCAAATAAAAAGAAGTTTGAAATGATTAGACCATAATTATAAAACAAATTTTACAAAAGGACTACTATATTTTACCTTAGTCAAACAAAATTACATAGATTTTACTTATAGAGGTCAATCTTAATATTTAACGTTTCAATGATATGAGTAATTAATGGTGCAGATAACATTCAAAGCAATGTGTAAGATGTTAATAAGTCTAGAAAACGAAGAAGAGCTAGGTTCACTGCAAAGAGATGTGGGCTTGGTTTGTGAAGCCATGCTTGCTTTTCCTCTCAATTTACCCTGGACTAGATTTCACAAGGGCATTATGGTAATTTCAGTACCTTCTTTGACGTTTTAACATCATAGTGATTGTATTGGTTTAACACTTAAGATGAGAGGTGTTATAAATGATGCAGGCAAGAGGAAGAGTTATGGAGGTGCTAGAAAAGATAATTAGAGAAAGGAGAAATGAAACAACTAGTCATAATAATAGTCATCACGAAGATTTTATGGAGCAGCTTCTTGCAGTTGATGACGGCAGCTCTTCTTTGTCTTCTGATCACTCTACTAAGTTGACTGATGCTGAGATTAAGGACAATATTTTGACCATGATCATTGCAGGTCCCATTTATTTATCTTAATATTCATTATTTTGGGTCAGTTTAGAACGAAAAGTAAAATCATTACATCATATTTAGTTTTTTACAACTTTTACTATAAGAAATGCAGGGCAGGACACTACGGCCAGTGCTTTAACATGGATGGTTAAATACCTCGGTGAAAATCAGAACGTTTTGAATATTCTAATTGTAAGTTCTGAATTAATACAGTTCAAAAAAGTTTATAATTAAATAGTTTCTCATGTATATTAGTACTATAGATTATATACACATTATCAATCATTTGACTTCAATTTAATTAACATAAAGACAATTTCAAAGGGTCCTGTTTCTAAAAACATGTCACTATACCGGTCAACAGGAAGAACAAACTCAGATTGCTAAGCAGGCATCAGATAAACCTTTTCTCGAACTAGATGATCTCACTGAAATGACATATGCCTCAAAGGTAAATACATAACAACGTTCAAACGTGTTTCAGTGGACAATGTTTTAAATATGTACGTATATATAATTTTTGTACATAGATGGTGAAAGAATCTCTGAGAATGGCGTCTGTTGTGCCTTGGTTCCCAAGACTAGTACTTCAAGACTGTGAAATGGAAGGTTTGCTTTAAATGTTTTATTTTTTTTTGGCTCAGGCTTGCTTTCGCTATTATACAGTAGAACCTCTATAAATTTATACTCGATAAATTAATATACACTAAATATCTCTATAAATTAATATAATTTTTATAGTCTCAAATTGAGTTTTTGGTTCAATTAGTATATCTATAAATTAATATTTCTCTAAATTAATATATAAAAAAAATTTTGGAGTAGTCCCTATATTATTAATTTATAGAGGTTTCACTGTATATCGCTTTCAGTTTATTTGTTTAAATAAATGATCTCAAATTCGGAAAAAAGGATTATATTTGGCTTTATTAAATACAGTTTTTTTTTTCTGATTTGGAAGGATACAAGATTAATAAAGGATGGAATATAAACATTGACGCTAGATCCATTCATCTTGATCCTAACGTATATAGTGAACCGCACAAGTTCAACCCTTCAAGGTTTGATGTACGTACATGATACTCTTAAGAAACCATATTTACTTTCACTATTCCTTTTTTTTTTAACTGAAGCTTTCTAAACACTATTCTTGTTTGCAAAGAAACATTACTTTGGTTTTTTTAACATTAAAGTAACATAACTTTGTTTGTATTTATTATAACTTAATCTTAAAATGAAGGAAGAAACAAAAGCAAACAGTTTCTTAGCATTTGGTATGGGAGGAAGAACATGTCTTGGTCTTAATATGGCCAAAGCCATGATGTTAGTTTTTATCCACCGTTTTATAACCACTTACAGGTTCGTACAATTATCTCTCTTTTGTTATGCTAAATAATACAATTATCTTTTATGATGCATAACATGTAATTTTTTATTTTAATAAAAATAATGCTTGTGACCAAAAAAAAAATGATTAAGATGGGAGGTGGTAGATGGAGATCCAAGCATCGAGAAGTGGACATTATTTGCAAGATTAAAGAGTGGATATCCGATTCGTGTGTCACGTAGATTGTAAATATATAAGTTTCAAAATAGATCTTCTATATGTATCAGTCTCAACGAGTGTTCCTATATATAATACGATGTTTCATATCCAAATGTAATATAAAAGCTTTGCATAAATGTCATATTGTCATTATATTATAGATAAATACAGAAGAAATTTCCTCTTTGCCTTGCGTTTCGTGAACACATGATAATAATAGTAAAGTGTATTTGAACACTACAAGAATTCCAAGGTTAATCCATAAATTATCTCCCAAGAAAGAATAAAGCGATAATGCTTGTTCATTGCTTGTCTTTAGTTTGAGGTGGCTGATTTGTTATTTCATCACGGATTTTTCATATTACATTCAAAGATTTGAACCAGACGCCTTAGCTTATTTGACAGGTGATTTTTTTTTCTTAATTCACATGGAAACTCAGACTAATCTCTTAATAAAAAATAATAACTGTATATTTTAGGGGATATTTTTTGTTTGAACTTATATATTTTAGGGGATATTATATTTAGTAAAGTCGGTTAGATTATAAGACTCAGTTAAACGATAATCACTACAGTAATGCGGGATACATAGTTGATACACTGACACTTTCAGTTAAGTACAAAATCAAGTTTCGATTTATCCTCAATTCCTTTGATGCTAAGGAATGGCTCCAAAGAGAAGATTTAGTGTGCTTTTAATTGATTTGAATAGTGTTTTAATATTTAAGGTACAATAATAGTAGTATTATATTTGGTTTTAAAAATGGTTGTGCAAGTGGATAATTGTTCGCCAAAAATATGGTTAATTAATAATTAAATTCCTAAACGTCCAACTATCTGTCATGGACAGAACAAAAGCTTGATTAAAGAAAATCAAAGTATAGGCTGTGGATCCTAGGAAGTTTTATATCTGGTGTTCTTTTCAAATGCTATTATCTATTACACTTTTATAAACCTACATAAATTGATAGAAATACATATATATATATATATATACCTTACCTTGCAACATGATACCAGTTTATGTGTGTTTTTGGTTGTCAATGACAAATATGCCGGGATCAATAATATTGTATTACTCAACTCCGTGAGAGGACGTGGACTCGTATATGCGTCAGGAAAATATAATAGAGAAACAACAAAAGTAAAAATGTTGGTGACCTGGTGTCAATTATTTATAGAACAACCAAAGTACTAGTGGATAAGAACTGATCCTAATAACTTCATATTTTTGGACAAACTTTCTGGGAAAATATTATTAATTATATTAGAAGGAGCTTCTATTGGCAATAAGATCAACAGCTAATCAAATAATTAATATTGCCAACTGGTATTTATTTTGGTTTATTTATAACAATGTCACGTAGCTCGCAAATTTAAATATAAAATATAAAGTAAAAATAATAAAATTTTCTTATAAATGTTTTTTTTACTTTCTATAAAGATTATATATTCTTTATTCTTTTACTATTTTAATATTTTTATAAGCAAAAGTTCAATACAAAATTATATATTAAAATAATAACTATATAAGACTAACATTTAGAACATTATATTTAAATTATAGATATACATTTATTTGTATAAAAGTCGGAATGAAATGGATCGTCTTTAATTTTTTTAGTGCTTGTGATTTATTTTATTTTAACAGATATTAGTTTTTAATATATGTTTTGCTTTGAAAATTTATGGATATCCAAATCTAGGTTTGGATTTTTCGATAAAAAGCTCAGCCGTAATTAATAACCACCAGGAGAAAATGAAACAGCATATGTAGAGTTGTAGAATCATTAGTCATTGGCACGTCTCATAATATAATACAAGTTGAACTAGAAGAGAACAATGTTTGTTTTAAAAACTAACTGGCTTGAACTTGCAACAATTTTCCTTTTCTCACATTGTCTTGTTTTAATAACGAATTGAATTGACATAATGGTAATGGTTTCATTACAATCAAAATTTGTGACATAAGGTTCTTTTGGCTTTGACCTAGAATCAACCACAAAAAATCTTTGACTTCACTTGAACCTAAAATCAACCTCCAAACTAGTTGTTCTATTAACTTTTTATTTGATCAGCAGTTGTTCTATTAACTTAAATGAATTTGTCAATATACAATATGTTCTGATGTCGATATTTGAGCTGAAGTGTTGATTAAACTAAAAACATTATATAACTATCTTGAACCGTAACAAGTTAATAAAGTGGCATCCTACCATGTGATAGAAATTAATAGCCTCATCCATATTGGAATACAACATTACTGGCCGTAAAAAGATAACCGAGGTTAATTGTTTTTACTGTTACATATTCACCACGCTCTAATTAGAAATAGCTAAATACGGACCACCACTACCAGTAGGGCCAGGACCACCCATGAGCCTACGACTACGACGATCAGTTCCACTAGGATCAGGCTGTCCTTGCCACTGAGGGACACAGTTTTGCAACTGGTCAACGCCGCCGTTTTGACAATATATTTTCTTCTTATACCCCATGATAAAAGTCTCCACCTTCATTTGAAACTCCTCGCTGCTCAACTCATCCATCGCCTGCGACCTCCACGACGCCGTTTTCATCACTCTCTCCGACTCCGTCCTTCGATACTCCACCATAGACCTCTTCTTCTTCTTCTCCTCCAAACTCGTCGTCCTCCTATAACTCTTTGAGCTCGTCTCCATCACTACTCGTTCATAACATTTACTCTCCTCAACCGTTTTAACCACTTGAAACGGCGCCACAGTGGTCTCCTGGCACCTCGAGTTACTAGAATATCCACAACCGTAATCTCCAACCTCCATCGGGCGAAAAGACGTCTCCTGCGAAGGACGGACGACGGCGATATATTCATCATAGAGATCTTGTTTCTTTTCTCCGGTGGTTTTGAGAAAGCTGAAGTATATCGCGCCGATGAGAGCGTTAAGGATGATGAAGATGAAGAAAACGTTTCTTAGAACCAAACGGAACCAGTCGAACCAAAGGTCAACGCCTTGAATTACATTTATAATCTTCGGGTAACCACAGTAACAGGAGATGGCTAGGACAGCTGAGACTTTGACAATGAATATAACATTCTGTAGTGTCAACGTATTGTCATGTCCCTTAGTCCGCTCCATATTTTTTGTTAGTATATAGGAATCGTGAGCCTGGTATGGTTATGATAAACTTGAATGGGAAGGTGAAAGAATTATTGAAGGAAATGTTACGATTTTCTATGGGAGAAGAAAATGTTATGTTGGAGAAAAGAGATGCACTGATGCTGAGACAGATACGATCACTAGAGTGGTCCTTTTATAGAGAGCCTTAATATAAAATTAACATGGTTAATTTAATTAATATTCTCTTGGGCTTTTAAATCTTAATAGTATTGTCGACACTCGACCAATAATGTTTCAGTTAACATGTTTCTTTTGTCTTTTTCAAATGAAAGCATGAATTATAAATATATAGTCTGTGGATATATTTTATCACATAAAATAATGATTGTTTGCTGTCTAGTTCCAGTAAGGTCTATCTATTATGCTTTTGGCCAATTAAATTGGATTGAATACTCGCAGTTGCTACTATATATATTGTATTTATGGTGGTAACACATCATTGTTAACTATTCACAATTCAGTAATATATATATTAGATTGCAGAATATTACTCCAAAACTACTATCATTGGCATTGCTTGGTAGATATCTTGGTTTTATTAAAAATATATAAATTTCCAATTTTATATGATCTATATGATTCGTAGCCATCATGTTCAATTTTGTAAAAATGGCATATCCTATTGATATTTCACTAATAAAGTAAATTATTGATTCGGGTGTAGATATTTTGCATCAATTTAATAACATATCAGTGGATCATATAGTTTTGAGTATATATATAAAGTAATTACGTGATCTCTAACAAATATTTACAAGTTTATTGAATACGTTCAGTGAAAAACTGAACGCATATTTTCTCAAAAAAAAAAAAACTGAACGTATTCTTGAGAAGGAGTTGCTTAGCATATATAAGTGTATAAACTATAATCCATACACTTGGAAGCACCTCGAATTAGCACGTGAAATCACGCACCGTCAAAAGGAAGGAAACTAAGAAGTAAGAACGAACATATCATCCACACAACATAAGATGATAGTATCACACTCACGAGGATCATGTAAACTGAAAGTGGTCGAGATCCGAGAATCACGTGAGATGGGATGAGAGTCACGTGCTCAAAAGCAATTTACAGTTTACTTACTCATAATAAAGACGGAGTCATGGAGATGCAGTGCATGAACATTTTATAAAGAGGTGCTCAAAAGAAATTACAGACAAAAACTGAGACTGGTTTATTTATGGTTCAGCAGATCCAAACACTGTCTGATTCTGTCGTCGCCATCAAACAATCTTTGTCATAATCACAACTCTGTTTTATATAAAAATCCCCACAATATCACGGAAGTAATTAGATGTTGACAAAAGAAAATCACAGTAATTAATTATTTGTACGGTTACATGCATGTTCGATACATAATTCTAAAGCTTAGACATATGGTTGTTTTGGTTTGACCATCGTACAATTTCCTTCTATTAGCTTAAAATATAGAATTTTATATTTTTTGTGTTTGCATCCATGTTTAAATGTAATACTGTGTTGTCTTCTGATATATATACAAAATTCAAATGTTATCTAGTAACATGTCCGAACAAATTAGGCGTCAGAACTCGTTGATAACAAAGTCTATAGTCAAATCTTCTACTGATTATCGGATAGAGTTTGGATAAGTAGTAGGCTGTGTAGTTTCATACCATTCACACTATAACACAAAAGACAGTTCTAGAGAATGCGTTTCTTTATATATAAAGGAGCCTTTCAGCTAGTGAGTATTATTATCATATAACAAAATCCCATGGCTTCTTCTTACACAGTTTTACTCTTACTCTGCCTATCCATCTTCCTCATCGCTTCCACTGGTGAGATCACTCGACTCTAGATGTTTCTACAACTCACCTTTTGTACATTTTTAATGTTTTGAGAATTTTTTTAGAGGTGGTGATGGTGGAAGGAAGAGTTTGCCAGAGGCGAAGCAAGACATGGACAGGGTTTTGTGGCAACACTCGCGGCTGTGACAGTCAGTGTAAGAATTGGGAACGTGCTTCACATGGTGCTTGTCACGCTCAGTTCCCGGGGTTCGCATGTTTTTGTTACTTCAATTGCTGAAGCAAGCAAGAGAGTTCTCTGAATCTTGTCGAGTGTCACGGTGTTGTCTTCGTTTGTTATGTTGCAAATCTTAGTCATTATGACAAAACCATAACCTTCAGCTTGGGTTTGAATAAAATCCCGTTTGTGCTTGGGACTATATGTCTAGTGAAGTTGTGAGAAAATCTATAATAAGAGGCTGTCTCGCAGGTGGAATAACTTGTTTGGTAGAGCTATAGCAACTAACTTGCACTAATGATTGCCACAACTTCATGAGCACACGCTCTATAAAGATAGCTTTGTACTAACTAGTGTATCAATAATCATGTCAAACTCAGAATTCACTTAGTAGCCCACACTCGATCTTTGTGATCCACAGAGATACTTAAACTCTGATAAGCCTTTAACAACAAAATGCGTATTGAATTAAAGTGAGACTTCAGCACAGATACAAGGCATTTGCTTTAAGTAAATGCTGTAAGCTTCTTTGTGAAGAACATAAAGCATAAGAGCAGTTCCAATACGAAACGGCTCTTTAAAACACATGAATTAGCACGCGCTTCAGTCTATTACTATAATTCAATCTCAAATTTCATAATATTGATTCAGAATTTCAAAGATCCAAAGTTTGTTCTGACAATACAATTATTCCTAAGAAACCATGAAGAAAGGTCGAGCAAAAGTTTCTCCAAAGCTGTAAATTCACTCTACTCTAGTGATTCTACATGCCATTATTCAAACCAGAGACCGAAACATAATCTTCTTGAGAGATCTAATACATACTATTAACGTTTCGATCAGAAAACATACCCCACAAAAATCAGTTCACATTTAAAAGACGCTTGGCTTATTTACCAGGCTCTATGTTGTTAGCGAGTTTAAGCTCTGGTGGAGTTTCTCTCACAATGCCAAGCATTGAGTCATACTCCTCGTCTTTTCCAGCATGCCTCTTGCGTAGAACCTTCTCGAACTCGATCGCATTTAGTGGCTTTGCATTCTCTGCAGCGTGAGCCTTGGCTAGGTTTGAGTAGTTTTCAGCTGACTTTGGGATAAAATCAATCTCCGTACTCTTGAGCTTCCGGAGGAACTTTGCTGGGTTTCCTCCCCATATCTGAGTCATCATAGACCAACACGTTAAAAAAAAGTTAAATCTGTCAGTAAGTATGGCTGAAGATGGAGTTTAATCGGTCATGATGAGATAGATACAAACACCATTTTGTATTCACATGCTGATTGTTTAAAATGCAATTTAACCTAATTGCCCTTAATCATTAGTCTTTAAATGAAAGTTGATTTTTTACAACACTTCGCCTAAAATAGCCTGATATCAGAATCAGAAAAGGCATCATTAATGAAATAGCCTATGCTGCCTAAGTAGCAATAGAAGTATGTCAGCACATACTGTATAAGGTTATGGGTCTTTAGATAATGCAAACGTTTGACGCAAAATTATACCTCTCCGGAAGGAATCCTAGTGTTTTGTCGCACAAGCGCACCAGCAGCAACCAGGGCATGCTTTTCAACCACGACACCGTCCAGAACTGTCGCTCCCATTCCGATAAAAGCCTCATCCTCAACAGTACATCCATGTAAAACAGCGCTATGGCCTGTTACAGGTTTAAAATTATATCCCAAATGCTTCGGGAATATGCATAAATATCAAATAATTGCAAAAACAAACAAAAAGATATTCCCACTAACCAATGGTTACATTGTCTCCAATAATAGTTGGAGGCACCTTTCCGCTTAAGTTCGATTTTGCCACATGAACAAGTGAGTTGTCCTGAATATTAGTTCCTGATCCAACAGTAACGCTGTTCACATCCCCTGCAGAGAAAAAAAAAGCAAGTCAAAGACTGTATGTAATCCCCCTGTTTCCTGGTAAAAAAGAATAGACTTAACCTAACCATACATTGCCAATCCTGGTGACATAACAGCCCTAAGTCTATTACCATTTAAACTAAATTAAAATACCAAAAAAATAATAATAACAATCTAGACTAGCCTACGCATACTTGCATTGAGGATCAAACTCAAATTCGATTAATCAAGAGAATATGTAGTATAATTGTGTTAAGCCTCCTTCCTTAATGCTGGGAAGCTACACATTAAGTAGTCTAATTCATCACTAAACCATAAAAAGAAAACTAAAGAACATATATTCGTTCACTACTTAGTTAACATAGCTAACGTTACATACGTAGATGATAGAACTCAAACAAAACTTGACACATTATACGAGAAATCAAATCAGTCAAACACCAAAAAAAAACAATGAAGCTTAATAAGCTTTGCTCACCTCGTAGCACACATCCATACCAAACAGACGATCCTCTTCCGATCTGAACGTTCCCAATGATTGAGGCGCTTGGTGCCACAAAAGCTTCCTTATCCACAATCGGAGCCTTATCGAATACGTTCATCAGCGTCCGATGCCTCGATACTACAGAGAAAGCCACGATTACACACACACACACAAAACCAAAAACCTAATCAGAAAAACACAGAATCCTAAATCCAGAATCGCGATAACCTACAAATACATCAATTCCAGATCTGTAACCTAATTCGAAGAGCTGAGTAACCTAATCGAAGCTTCTCTATCGTACGAATTCGAAAAAAACGGAGTGATGACGTGGAGCTACAGTGAAGCTTACGTTGTTCTCGGAAGGAATTTTTGCCTTGGAGGCGACATCCGAGGCGATCGAGAGCTTGACCGGTCTCACGGATCCAGAATCCAACGGAGTAAAATGCTCTGCCTAAGGTTCCCATTGGTCTTCGTCAGCTTCCTAGAGTTAACAGGCGAGGAGGACTCTACAGTGAAGGAGAAGAAAATGACTGAAAATAGGATTTTTGACGCGTTAATTTTGGGATGGCGAAATATCTGAGTCCATGGCAGTTACGTTGGTTTATTCTGGTTCAAGCAAACCGTTCTATCTAAACTGAACCAAAGAATCACATGAACAAAAACTGAAACATGGATGATAACTGTATGTCTTCAAATATATTTTTCATCAATAGAAACAAATCAGTTGAAATTATTTAGATAAATCTATTTTTTTTTAAAAGGGAAACATATCTGTTGAAACTATGTAAAGTAACTGTTTAAATAAGAGTAAATAATAACGAATATTTAAAATAATATATTATCGAAATTAAATAAATATGTGGTCAAAATATAAATTATGTAAATTTTGTAAGATTTTTTTTGAAATAAATCTATAAAAATCTAATTAAATATGTCAAATTTAAATTCAAAATAAAATGTTATTGTAGATAATAAATATTTTCTTGGGCATAATAAATCTGTTTGATCTGGTAAAATATCGTTTTTTATTTTTTATACTAAATTAAGAAAATGAACTAATGACATTTACTGTAAATACATTTTTGTAACAAAATATTTATTAAGAGATCAGAATTAACGTTTTCTATTTTAAAAAGTTGAAGGCAGTTACACTAAATAATTTTTTTATAATACTCTTTCTGAATCGATTATTCCTATATGAAATTTTCAATTACTAAAAATCTAAATCACGACAAATAAAATTATAATGTCGTAGTAGTTTGTATTTTGCATTACTTTTGTCGTTTCGTTAACACTGTGCTAAAAACGTGATAATCTCAAAAAAATCAGATCGTATCTCGCCATGCACAACACGTGGAAAGATAACATGTCCTTCTCAAACGTTAGGCAATAATGGACCACCGGTTTGATTTGCAGCACTAAAGAATACAGAGAGAAAAAGTGAGAATTGTGTATAAAAACCACTGACCAACTCCACAGTTCTTAGATCTCAGCAAAAGAAAAAACTCAAGATGGCTCTTGAAGTCTGCGTGAAAGCCGCCGTTGGTGCCCCTAATGTTCTCGGCGACTGTAACTTCATCTTTCCCCTCTCTGTTTAATCAGGCTTCTGATCTTGTAATTTCTGAGTTTTTGATCTTCTAATGTCGTTTCAGGCCCGTTCAGCCAAAGGGTTCTTCTCACCCTCGAGGAGAAGAGTCTGCCCTACAAAATGCATCTGATCAACATCTCCGATAAACCTAAGTGGTCAGTTACTCATTCACCCGATGTGTTTAGCTTTGTTTTAACCGGAAATTGGATTCGGTTCGGTTAGCTCAAATGCTAACCGGAAATTGGATTGGCATTGTTTATATATGATCATAGTAGGATGAAACATAAAAACATTAGACTATGACCCCAAATACTTTTAGTGTTTCATATGTATATATCATCTGGTCCCAAATAATTAAAAAATATATTTAATAATTGTTTCAAGTTTCATATATCTCAGAACGTATATGATACAGGTTCTTAGACATTAATCCTGGAGGGAAAGTACCAGTGCTTAAGATCGACGGCAAGTGGGTCCCTGATTCCGACATCATCGTTGGCCTTCTCGAGAAGAAGTATCCTGAGCCATCTCTCAAGACTCCTCCTAAGTTTTCCTCTATTGGATCCAAGATCTTCAGCACTTTCGTGACTTTCTTGACGACCAAAGACTCTAGTGACGGTCCTTTGCTTCATGAGCTAGAAGCCTTGGAGAATCATCTCAAGTCTCATGATGGTCCTTTTATAGCCGGGGAAAAGGTCAGCGCGGTGGATCTAAGCTTAGCACCAAAGCTTTACCATCTCGAGGTCGCTCTTGGCCATTTCAAAAGCTGGTCTGTCCCTGGGAGCTTGACTCATGTTCACAACTACATGCATGCTTTGTTCTCACGCCACTCCTTTGAGATGACAAAGGCCGATGAGAAGTATGTGATAGCAGGATGGGCTCCCAAGGTCCACGCCTGAAACTACTATAGTTCCATATGTTCCGCACCAGTATGAGATTAACTGGTGTGATGTTGTGTTTCAAGGTCTATCATCTGTGTCAGTCAAATAATGAATGTTCTTGGAGTAACGATCCATCTCCATCAAATGGTTATAAAATTAATTAGAACTCTCCATGAAGTTTGGTACATGAGATGACATATTGAATTCGTAAATCTATCTTCAAACTGTGTGCATTAAACCGTTTTTTCACAGATCAAATACTGATTGTATTAATCATTTTTAATGTGAATATGATTTTATAATTCAATTTATCAAAATATTATAATTGATCAACAATCAGCACATTTTTCGATTACATTATAGAGTTCACCAGATAGTCATGAAATGTTTAGTCAAATAGTTTAATAGATAAATGAAGGTTGTTTAGTAGTTTATCTATAATTTATATGCAGTTAAAAAAATTCTCTTAAAAATAAAGATAGCTAATGTGAAAGATATAATCATACAAATAATGTGATAAATGTTAAGTTACAAAAAGAAATAATAATAATGTGATAAATGTTTTTTGAAATTTCACAGCTGAGTATATGTTCCATCGAGGATATCAATTGTTTTCTCTCTTACTAGCTAGCCTTATTTTTAAATTAACAGTGGTAAGTATAACTACCCTAGAAAAGAGCTGCTAATTTCAGATTTAACTAGAACACTATTATGTGAACCGTTGACTTCTCAATACTATTTTCCCAGAGAACATATGGACCCAAAAAAACGTAGTCCCATAAGAATATTATACTTTTATTTTGATATATAACCTGATTTTTCTTTTGATAAATACTACGACTTGCAGAATCTCTCAACTCTCTTTTCTTCCATATAAGAAGCCTACCCTGGCACTAAATATATCTCTATCTCACATTACAAAATGGCCTCAAGTTCTATGAGCTCGATCTCGTCTTGGACGTCTAAGCAAAATAAGATGTTCGAGAGGGCTTTAGCCGTTTACGATAAAGACACTCCCGACCGTTGGCAAAACGTCGCCAAAGCAGTCGGAAGTAAATCGGCAGAGGAAGTCAAATGTCACTACGACATTCTGATTGAAGATCTCATGAACATAGAACACGACTTAGTCCCGTTGCCTAAATACAAGACCGTGGATGATGCAAGTAAATCAAGAGGCATCACTGATTTTGATTGGAGGTATAAGCTCTTCGTGTCATTTTAGAATACATCTCTTAATTTGTGGTCGTTTTGGTTAATTTTATTGTGGGAATTATGGCTAAGGCCAAATATTTAGGATTTACATCCATTTTGTGATTTCTATTATGATTACGTAGTAAATATGTTGAGTGAAGAATTTTGTTAAAAAATTAACGTTTTATCAGACTAATATGAACTAGGTGGCTTCCTGCACCGTGTGCAGAAATAAAAGTTTTTAAAATAAATTTATATTTTTTTGATCAAAAATAAATTTATATTTAAAAATAAAATTTAATTAATTGTAAAATTTATTATTATATTATATTATTAATATTACATTAATTATATGTAAAAATTAAGAGAAAATAAACAGTTTTATTTAAATATATGATAGTTCTCTCAAATAGAACTTTTTTTAGGTTTTTCAGAAAAATAGATCTTAAAACTAAAATGACCAAAACTACATATTTTATTTTGAAAATTTCAATTTTTTAAAAAACCTTTTTTTAATCCTATCTCCAAAACTCCACTCCTCAACTTTAAACAAAAAGTTTTACGATTAGTTAACCCAAAGGATATAAGTGTATATTTACTTATTTTTGATAAAACATTTAAGTCTATCTTGGTCATTTTTATTTTAAGGTCTATATTTGTGATTAAAACTTTTTTTAGGTCTATCTTAAATTTATATTTAATAATATATATATATCTTTTATCTTTTGGTTAAATTATATTAAATCATATTATATACTATTAAGAGAAAATTTTGTTAGATATATAATTATCAAAATATAAAAATAAATAATATTTCTAAAATTTATAGATGTTATAAATAAAATTAATGGTATTGGGATTAGAAAATTTTAATTTTAAAAAATACTGCATAAAATTTTGAAAAACAAAATTTATTAATAAAAATATATAATTAAAAAATACAGTTAAAAATATTTCAATATTTGTAATATTATTATATTTATAGTTCTACTATTATATTATTTATTATCTTAATGATAATTTATGAGTTCTTTTTCTTATCACTATTTTAATAAAAATTTTTGTTTAATCAAATATAAAAAGTAATATAAAAATATTTTTGTTTATTTTAAATTATATTTAAGAATATGCATGTATATATTTAAAATTATAATCTTAGATAACTTTTTATCTATTTATTTTAATTAAATATATTAAATAAATTTGTAGAAAATTCTATAATTATCAAAAATTAAAATTAGACAATATTTATTAAATTTTTAAATATATAAGAAATTAATAATTTTACGATTAAATTTTAATAATTTTCAAAATATGTATACATTTTTGAAATTTTTGTAATAAAATTGTATAGTTTTTAAATATATAATTAAATGATATTTTCGAAATTTTTAATGCCATATTGGTATATATTTATTTTAATGATGATTTATTAGTTATTACCATATTTTAAAAATATTTCAAAAATATAAATCAACATTAAATGTAATATATGAGTTTTTACCATATTTTATAAAAAAATTCAAAAATATATATTGACATTAAATGCAATTATCCATGTCAGATTTAATCATATGTATAGGGGATTAGTTGTGGTAGAAGCATGTAAACGTCAGTACGACATTTGGCCTTAGCCATTTGTACAACCCACCCTTATATTTACGGCATTCTCATCAAATGGAAAGTAGTGACAGTCCAGCTCATCATTAAATGGCATAAGCAAAATAAGTTACTAAAATCATTTGTCTATACGAAGTTTCACATTTAAAACAAAAAGTCTTAATGTTTAGAGTATTTTTTTTTGGGACTAATTCTAAGAGGGGAAATAAATACACAAGTTTAGAGTATTTTTTGTTCGTGTTATAAACGCCTTGGCTAACTCTATTGATGATGTTTTCAATTTTGGAGTAAAAATTATTAACATGTTATGTTATATGATATTTTATATTCTACAGATTATTATATTATTAATTAAATTGTGGTTAAGTAGATAGTTAATGAAGTTATGTTTAGAAATTATAAAATATTTAATATTTTCTGTACAATCTTTAAACGTCAAGTGATAAAAGGAGGAGTAATATAAGTACCATATATAATATTATAAATGCTTACAAATGTTACTATTATTAGCAAATTATATATTATATATACATATAAATTCTAATAAAACTTTAGTTTTTTTAAAAAAATCTGCCCCTTCAAACTATGTCATATAATCGATTCTTTGGGAGGATTACCATATGAACAGACCCCAAGGAAAAGGAGTCACATGAAATTTATTCCTTCTTGTTCATTGTCTCCTCCATTTTGAATCCTCCATTTTGAATCTTATATACGTATGATAAGTAATGCATGTATCTAATTTTATGATTTTTTTATGGTCAAGCACATCAATGTACGGTATATAAGTATGTAAAAGTGATTTTAACTAATTTACATTGGTCGGTGATATAACAAGAGTGGTATTTTAATGTGGAGTTGTTAACTGTAAGATAAATTAGAGTTCAAAAAAGCTTTCATTAAGCCAATCCTCAAGTATAGTAGTTATCAATTTATTTTCTTAAATACCCAACAGATTTTTTTGGACAGGTTAATGAAGAATATGAGAATCCAGTGAAGTATGTTAAGTTAATGTGAAGCAATATATATGTAATGATCACTGTTCATTGTATCATTACATTTTCATTTGTGCAACTTATTATTTTATTTTATTATAGTTTTATTTATTAGTGATGGATTATTATATTATTTATTTAAGTTTGTGTTTCAATTTCAATGGTTTTGGTTTTACTAATAGTTAGAACATCTGTTATTATATAATCCGTTTTTACAACAAAGTAAAGTAAATCATAATAAAGTTGAGTTTTATTCCAATTTGGAATAGAATAAGATATTAAATAATACGTAAAAAATTTGTAACTCTTTTTGGGAATATATATTCTTTTACTTTATTATGCAATGAAAATTAAATAAAATTAAATAAATTTTAAGTATATCATTTCCAAATAGTAAAACATGTGATGTACTATTTATTGGTCGAAAAGAAACCAAAAATCGGGGAATGAAACGATGGAATAGACAGTTTTATTGGAATAGACAATCATACCATGAAGATGATTTTGCAAGATTCACAAAGAAAATATTTAGAGATAACATTTGTTTTCTAGATCAAACGTAACTACACATATACCTGTTGCTTAATTTGGAACTTGCATGAAACAAAAGCCACCTCACGTCATACTATTTCCGGTGTAACCTTAGCGGTGAATCGTTACACAAACAAAACCAAACCGTTTAAATTTAGGGTAAAATCCAACAAAAGCAATTAATAACAACACGTAAAAATAGTTCTAACTTTATCTAGACAGCTTAAATAGTGATGTTAGTTCCTGTTTTAAACCCATTCTTTTGTTTTAGATATTAAAGAAAAAGGCAAAAGTTTGTAGGAGATCGGATGGCGAAAACATGGGCGGTTGTGGTGTTATCCGTGATGCTACTTGTTTCGTTAAACTCTGTGGCGATTTGGGCTGAGGAGGAACAGCCGACAATTGGCTCGAGGATAGACTCCGCCGTGACAGGCGCCACCAATGCATTCAATGAAAACGGTGGGCCAGAGGCCGTCGAAACCGTATCTTCTACGGCAAAGTCTGTTTACGGATGGTTTGGTGATAAAGCCAAGTATGCCTACGATTCTTTATAATATTTTTAATCTTTTTGGCATGATTGACACGTTAGGTAATAATTTTGCTACACCATAATCACTCATTATAAACCTTCATTATTTTTTTTAGGGAAATGGGAATTCATTTCTAAGCGGAGGAATAAGGAAAGGTCGACTTATAGATGTGGTCTCAATGAAAAAAGAGAAGCTTGATCTCTCTGTAAATGATCTTATCTATTTAATCTTCATTCTTCAATGCATGAATATGTAAATGTAACCCAACGTCTTTAAACAAAATGTTATGCCTTTAATCATTACTATGAAACAATTGATTAATGATGAGTCAATAAAACAAAACTCATTGGTGTGTGTGTTCCACATTGGTGGGCCAATTGTTATCGTTAATGACAAAAAAACTCCATGGCCGTCAATGTCGGATGCAACTTGCAAGATAGTCTTACTGATACAACAAACAAAATTGGATTATTATCATTACACATCCAGGATTAGTGTTTTCAAGACTTTACTTTTTTTACAGGGCGAGAGTAAATTACTAAAAGCATCTTGTTCTACATGGGACTACATATTTTATCTCTGATGCCTCAAGTTTAATTTACCGACCAACCAGATGAAGCAATCTCTTGACACCGAACGATCCCAGCCGCTCCACCATAACACAACCATCTCTCACTTCCTTTGTTCATATTCCACCGCACTCTATGCATCGCCACCATTTTAGGTGGAAACGTTTCTGCTTTCACAGAACTGCTACTGCTACTAGCTTCTTTTTTTCTTCCTTCTTCTTCATCGCCATCTTCTTTAACGCAGACCAGTGCTCCTCTGTTATCTTCCTCCTCTATTGTCTTGTTCTTTCCTTTCTTAGCCTTTGATTTTGACGCTTTGTTGTTACTTCCCTCGGCTTCAGACTCTAAACCCGGATCCTCATTGTGTGCAAAAGCTGTAAAAAATAAAAGTAAAATCATTCATTGGTAAAATCCAAACCAGGACTAAGTGTGAACTGACCTAGAGGCTGAGCGTCTGAAACAGGAGATGAGTATCGGTTAGGAGATTCGTTCAAGAGACTTCGAAGACATCTCTGTTTTTCACCAGTCTCACTAACTGGCTTCTTCAAGAAGATGGGTATGTTAGGTACTGGACTATGCACTGTAAAAGTGGAATCATTGATAGTCAATCGTCCACAGAGGAAGTGAGGAGTTCGGTTTCTCGAGTCTTTTTCCACTGCTTTGGTTGTAAGCTGTAATAAGCCCAATAAGACACTGATGAAATCTTTACAAAATACAAAACAGAAGAGGTGAAGTAATAATGCAGTGAAAAATCAATACCTGGAAATGGAAAACGGATCCATCTGCAGTGCAATAAGCTGCCGTGCCTGATTAAGTTGAATATCATTCAGTGTCACGATGACTTTATTTACTAAGATGATTGTGTTACAAGTGAATTTAAACACAATACATGAAAGATAATTTTACCTGTGAGACGGGATACTTGAATACTCCAGATGGGAAAAGAAGAACAGTTATAAACGCTTAGCCCTTGCTGTTTTGTGTTAGGATAAGGCCTTCCGGTTGATGGAACATCATACGCAACCTTCACCAAGCTTAGGATTCTTATTGTGCCATCGTCAAAGGACAATAGAACACATCTGCATAAGAATTTTGAAACACCAAGTTGGTTTAATCTGGACTTCAAATGACTGATCTCAAAAACTGTAATCAACTGAGTATAGAGAAACAATTGGTACTTTGGGTCTTGTAACCAATCGATGCTGTAAATAAATCTTGGTACTGGGTGCAGATCCCATAAAGGACGGAATGGATCACTACAGAAAGACCGCATGAAGCAAGCAATAAGTTATGGTATTTAGTAACACAAAAGAAAACTTAAAACTCAGACATCAAAACTTGAAGAAAAGCGATGTAGCTGATATTTATGAAGTTTACCGTAAGTCCCAGAACTTGAGACCTCCATGTCCAGCAGTAGCTACTACGTTTTTACTTTCTTGATCACTGGAAATTTTTCAGAAATTACATTGTTTAATAAGTGAATCCTCTCACAGAAGAAAAGAGGTACATTGGTTTTTAACTGAAGCCAGTGACAAAGCCAAATCGCTTCTCCAAACTGAATGAACATAAAAACAGAAAACGAGAATTACTGTATCATATGGGTGTGATTTTCATGTCACTGACCTTTCAGCAGGAGCCCATGCAACTGCCCTAATAGGAGCTGTATCTGCGCTGAAGAAAAGTAAAGGTCTTGTATCTGCATAGAGAAAAATTGAAAACCAAATGTGAAATCAACAGATCACTTTCTAACCACTACGTGAATATAAACTATCTGTCATAGAGAAAAAAAACATATCAGGTTGTAATACCTTCTGAAGATTTAGTTGTAGAAAATTTCCAGAGAGCAACCTAATGCAAGAGATCAAATCAAACAGAGCCAAAGCAAGTAAGCATTGCAATTCTTATTCTTCAACACATTTACGTTTTTACACATGAAATAAAAACTTATAAATATGATGGAAATAATAGTGTAAAATAATTTAATACTTACCGTGCCATCATGGCAACCAGCAAGTAAGAAATCAGGGTTACCCAAAGTCGACCATTCAACTGTTAAAGGAATACTGTACGATAATAGATGAGCACAATATCAGGAGAAACCCAATAGAGACAGATATTGAGAAAGTATCACTACAAAAGCGAAAATTAATTATATGTACAACTCTGAGAACACAAAACTAGCAAATGTTAGACATCTACTGACCTTTGTGTATCACCACACTTTAAGTTTGAACATTTGAAAACGGGAGCCAGTTTCACAAAACGAGGATCAGTCGCATCTCTCTTTGAAGATAAATACACAGCTGATACTGCCTGAGGCATTGGAACATCCCACCTGCATAAAGTTGTTCATCATTCGGCATAGTACATGCAGCTTAGTTAAAGGTAGTAACATTATTGCAAACTGCAAATATGATAACACTAACTATATTCACATAGTAAAGGGAAGACAATATCTCGAAGGCATCAGGAGGATAAAAGAAGACTTACACTTCCACAGATCCATTCCCCAGCAAGACAGCTAAATATCCCATTCTATGCTTACTAAGAGAATCATCTGCAGATGGTGGACGCCATTTCATATCCCAGACAACTTTTCCATTGTGTGCCAGACATAACACAACCCTTGGAAGAGCAATGTCTTCAGAGATATCCGAGGATTGTCCCCCTGGAACGTTTCCAACAGCTTCATTATCTTCTGACACTACGGGTTTGCACGTTTCGTCACTACGTTGAGATTTTTGTCTCTTTATCCGTACGGGAAGTTTGATATTTTCATTGTCTGAAGACAACACTTGTCCTGAGCTTTCATCATCGGTTTTAGCTTTTGTTGCTGAAGTTTCTCGTAGAACCCGAAGAGGAGTTGCGGGAACAACAACTGCCTCTTCCGGATACCGAACAGACAAAGCTTCAACGTATAGAACGTCACCATCAAGCTCACTAGGAAGCTCAGCAGTAGTCTTCTTTCTAGGTCTTCCCTTTGGCTTCTTAGGAGATGTTGTCTCTATTGGATACTTTCTTGGCCTGCCTCTTGGCTTTTTAGGTTGTGTATTATTATTACTTTCATTGGATGGTTTCTTCCGAGACAACTTCTGATTCTTCCCTGATATATGGGTGATATCGTTCTCGCATGTGGCATTTATAACACACCATATCTGAATAATGCCTCTACCTGAAAGCCGAACGCCTATCTTGTGACTGTAAGAATCAGGTGGATGAGTAGCAACAGCTAGAAACTGCAATAGTAAAAAAACTTACACAACAAATGAAAACCTAATATTTTCATTTCTATCAAGGATCAAAAACAGAAGATATGACCTAATCACCTCACATTTTGCTTGAGCATCTGGGTTTCCATGAACTCTGGGACACCACTCTAATCCCCAAACAGAGCCTCCAACATGCATAACAAAATCCTTGCTGCAGAGGTGAATAAATCATTAGATAAGAAATCAAGACTACTAAAACCTCGTTGATAACTTAAAAAGAAGGAGCAGATATTTATATACACACACACAAAAACAAGCACTGTCAGTATGTTGTCTAGCTAATTACCAATTTAGTCATGGTTTTCATACTCGTTTAACACAATCACTAAACTGCATAAGTGACTTCATAATTTTAAGCATGAGAATGTAAAAAAACTTATGATTATTTCGCGTAGTCAAGATTAATTGTATGCAATCTCAAATAGCAAGTGATGCTATCTAACACAACCAGTTGGGGTTTAATAATTACAGCTAAAATAAAATTACCTGGGTTGGCCAAATGATGATTCATCGTCATCTATCTTAACCTGCGCCAATAATAACTCAGAGGTAAAAAAAGCAGTATCGTTGAAGACTTGAAGCAAATCCTTTATATACTAAAGCACAAGTCACATAACCAATAAAATTTTGACATGTGGCATGTGGTTTATATAATTTAAAAAAAAAGAAATTTAAGAAAATAAATAAATAAAAAACAGTTTAATGACTTTATCGGTTAACTGATTCTTATATTTTATTTCAATTTATTTATATATTAAAAACTCCTAATAGTTCGCACTCTACTACTCCCATGATCTCAATTATCTATAATCTGAAACTGCTATAAGCCATAAGTTCCATCTATACGTGCACATAAACTCATATGTTCTTTACAAATGCTCTATTGACTCTCTCGCTTTCTCTCTCGCAAATATTTCAATTTCTTACTAAAATGATCAAAGTTCTCATGGTTGGGGACGCCTACACTGCGGAGATCAGCATAGTTTATCAAAATAGTCTATGGCAGATGAAGGGTAATATCAAGTTAGTGATACTAAAAATGCCAAAATTATTTATGATCAAATCATAATTTTCTTTATGTTGAAATTCTTTTTAATAATTATTACTTCTAATCTTCTTATAACCTTCTTTTTGCTCTTTTAAATATTGGTAAAATCTACATATTGCATGATGAAAAAGGCAACCTAGAAAAATAGGACTAATTTTTATGGATTTCCTAGAATATGTTTTATTTTTTCAGGGAACAAGAATTAGGAAGGCTTCTCTGGGAACACGAGTACAAAGCTCTTAAACTTTAGAAGCACCAAAAGACAAAAGGGAGGAAACGTGGTGTGATAACTACAAGACTACAAGGCAAAAAATGGGTTTAAAAAACTTGAATGGTAAGAGGGAAACGAAGAAGGTTTCTTTGTAAATCAAGACCTAATCTGATCAGGTTGGTCTTCATTCTAAAAGATCTGATAATGCTTTGTATTGATTCAGATGATGTTACAATGAGACTTTACATCGCCTTATATACATGACGAAGATCTTAACAAACTAGATACACACTTATCTTCTCTAGTATATTCACAACCGAATATACGTAAGATCCTAATATCTTGAGCTTCAGAATATTCTCTAACTATATCCCAATACCCCTCCTCAAGTTGGAGCATGAAGATTTCTAATGCCCAACTTGAAAAGAAAGGATTGAAATACCTTCCCGCCAAGAGCCTTTGTAAAAATGTCTGCCAACTGATTTAACGTGGATACATGCTTCGTTCGAACTACTCCACGCTGTATATCGTCTCTAATAAAATGGCAATCCAACTCGACATGTTTGGTACGTTCATGAAAAACAGGGTTGGCAGCAATGTGCAGAGCGGACCGACTGTCACAAAATAAATCCATCGGCCCTTGATGAGCAATACCCATTGTGCGAAGAACATTCTTGATCCATTTCAACTCACACAAAGCTTCAACCATTGCTCGATATTCTGCTTCTGCAGAGGAGCGAGATACAACATCTTGCTTCTTAGATCTCCATGAAATAGGCGACCCTCCCAGCTGAACAAGCCACCCGCTAAGAGACCTTCTTGTGAGCGGACACCCCGCCCAATCCGAATCAGTCCAAGCCGTGAGATGAAAATTGTTATCTGATTGAAGTAAGATACCTTGTCCAGGGGAGCCTTTCAGATACTTTACCACCCTCAGACTTGCATCCCAATGCTCCTGAGTAGGTCTCTGCATAAATTGAGACAATGTGTGCACTGCGTATGCCAAATCAGGACGAGTAGCCGACAAGTAAATGAGTCTACCAACTAGGCGTCTATACTTCTGTGGGTTAAGCATAGGAGGCGCAGTAGACTTCGCAAGCTGATGGTTTTGTTCAATAGGAAAATCCACTGGACGTCCACCAAGATACCCAACATCGGCTAAGATATCCAACACATACTTCCTCTGCGACAAGAATATCCCCTCCTGACTTCGTGCAACCTCTATACCCAAGAAGTACTTAAGTTTCCCAAGGTCTTTCATGTGAAAACAATTACTGAGATACCGCTTGAACTCTTGAACTGCTTCATTAGAACTTCCTGTCAAGACAAGATCATCTACATATATTAGCACATGAAGTTCCTTCTTTCTTGTGACCAAAGAAAACAACGAATGATCAGCTCCACACTGAACAAACCCATAGTCAAACAACGCCTTCGCAAACTTGGAGAACCAGCATCGTGGAGATTGTTTTAGTCCATACAAGGACTTGCGTAGTCTACACACCATACCTTTTTCTGGGGAATGAAAACCGGGTGGTAGCTTCATATAAACCTCCTCATCTAAGTCTCCATGTAAGAAGGCATTGTGCACATCCATCTGGTGTAAATCCCATCCTCTTCCACACGCAATTTTCAAAAACATACGAACTGTTGTCATCTTTACAACAGGAGCAAACGTTTCGAAGTAATCAAGTCCCTCTACCTGCTTGTTCCCAAGGGCAACCAGGCGTGCTTTGAATCTCTCAACAGTACCATCTGCGTTGAACTTTATTTTGAAAACCCACTTACAACCTATTGCATGTTTCCCAGGGGGCAAATGTCCAACGGTCCACGTGCCATTCTCTTCCAATGCAGTAATCTCGAAGCTAGCTGCGTCTCTCCATCTTTTGTCTTTCATAGCTTCTGCAAAAGATCTTGGTTCCACGCCTTGAGTAACTGCAGCTAAGAAAGCAGTATGCGCTGATGAGAAACGATCACAAGCCAAGAACTGTTCTATCCCGTATAAGGAGTCAAATTCAAACTCATATTGACCATCACCAAGGTCTTCATATTTTTGAACTGTGTTCAAAATGTAATCCTGCAAACGTGTGTTTGGTTTCTTCTCACGCAGTCCTCTTCCCAGCTCAGTCACAGGCGCATCTATGACTTCAGTTTCCCCATGTTTATCAACTTCCTCTGTTGCAGGAATCTCTGTCTCAACCACGTGTTCTTCTAACACTTCTTGTTCACCTGTTTCTTCATTAGTGTCTGCTTCCAGGTCTGCTGCAACTTCTGTTTGATCACCAAGTGTAGTATCAAGACCGCCACTTGAATTTTGTTGTTCTTCTTCTACCACTTCAAGTCCACTCTCTTTTGATTCATCGACTATATTCTCGTCATCAACAAACAAGATAGCATCATAGTCTAGTAACTGATTTCCTTCATATTCTGCATCTTTTAGAGAAGAGGAAGCTGGTTCAGACAGAGGGAAGACGTCTTCTACGAACGTTACATCTCGAGAAACAAAAATCTCGTGTTTGTCGAGGTCATATAATGTCCAACCTTTCTTAGCATAAGGATACCCAACAAAAGCACAACGACGACTTCTACTTGCAAACTTGTCCCCATTCCTCTTCTGATTGTGAGCATAAGCAAGACACCCCACAACCTTCAGCTCGTCATAGTTCGGTGTCGTGCCAAAGATAACTTCATATGGCGTCTTACCCTTATGAATTTCACAAGGAGTTCGATTTATCAAGTGAGCTGCAGCCAACACGCATTCTCCCCAGAACTCAGTAGGAAGCTTTCCTTGAAACATGAGAGCTCTTGCAACGTTTAGTATGTGTCTGTGCTTCCTTTCAACCCTGCCATTCTGCTGAGGAGTTCCTACGCATGAAGTCTGATGAACGATGCCACTTGAGGAGAAAAAATCCTTCATAGAAATGAACTCTGTCCCGTTATCGGATCTCACTGTTTTTACCGCTTTATCAAACTGACGAGACACAAGAGCAATGAAATTTTTCAATGTTTGTTGCACCTGTGTTTTATCAGCAAGGAGAAACACCCATACTCCTCTCGAGAAGTCATCAACCACAGTGAGGAAATAGTAAGATCCACACAAACTCTGTGTTCGATAAGGTCCCCACAAATCAACATGAATAAGCTCGAAAATCTCTTTGCTTTTATTGATGCTTAAAGGAAATTCAGTTCTACATTGTTTTGCTCGAAAACAAACATCACAGACTGAAAACTCAACACTGCTACTACTATCAACTACTGGCAATTGCCTTATTCTCTTCTCTGCTGCGTGTCCAAGTCGCTTGTGCCATAACTCCAGCGACTCCTTTGCATCTACTTTCTTCACTCTTCTCACCAACTCCACTCCTTGAAGAAAATAGACGCCATCCCTTCTCTTACCCATTCCAATCGTCATCATCCGCGTGAGGTCCTGCATCAGACAACACGTCTTTGAGAATAAGACAACACAATTCAGCTCATCAATGAGTTGCGAAACCGCAATCAAGTTACACTTCAATTCCTTCACATAGAGAACACTGTGCAGTATCAAAGTTTCAGTCAAACGAACACTTCCTTCCTGATCAGCCATTACTAGTTTCCCATTTGGTAAACCAACGAGACATGGAGAAACCGTGTGTATATCAAACAAACAATCTACTAAACCAGTCATGTGATGAGACGCACCACTGTCTATAATCCAATCATCTCTACACTTCTTACCGTTAAGACGTGTTTCCTCTGTTTTCTCGCCTAACATCTTCACTAATTTGCCCCACTGTTCCTTCGTCAGACCAGTAGTTTCGTGTCCATCCATTGCAGGTGTTACATGGGCCACAGCGTTGACGCTAGCTGCTCTCCCATAACCTCCTTTGTTTCCTTGTTGAGGAGGCTTCCCTCCTTTTCCTTTTCCATACTTCTCAAGCCACCAGTCCGGGTAACCGTGCAATTGGTAACATGTTGCAGTGTCATGTCCAACCTTGTTGCAATGAGTACAGAAACCTCCTCTTCCGTTGCTTCGTGATTCTCCTCGAGGCTTTGTCCCATTCACATTGACTGCAAAGGCCATAGCTTCTCCTCTTGCCTCCTTCGCACGATCTCTATCAGAAGAACGCATCTGCTCTTCCCTTGCCACCATGGCATATGCGTGTTCCACACTAGGCAAAGGGTCAGTATTCACGATAGCACTTCGTACGTTTCCATACAACGTTGCATCCAAACCAAGACAGAACTGATGAAGTTTCTCTCTTTCTCGTGCCATCTCCAACTGGTGTACGAAATCACACGTACAGCCTTGACACTTGCATCCACCACAGCTACAAACGGGTTTGGACTCATAGTTCGCGAGATCTTCCCAAATCACTTGCAGCTTTCCGTAGTATGTTTCCAATGTCACATCTCTCTGTTTGCAGTTCATCAACTCTTCTTTCAATTGTTGAACTTTTACTTCACTCTTTGCACTAAAACGCGCCTTGATGTTATCCCACAAGTCCTTAGCAATCTCACGATGTGTGATGCTAGACCTGAGTTTTGGATCAATAGTGTTGAAGATCCAAGATGTCACCATCGCGTTCACCGTCAACCAATCTTCTTCTTCTTCTGAGTCTTCTGCTGGAGCCTTCACCGTACCATCCACGATACCTAGCTTCTTCTTAGCACGAAGTCCCGTTTTCAACTTTCTCGCCCATTCATCATAGTTTCTTCCATTGAAGACAACTTTGGTGATGACGTTCTCCGGATCATCTCTTGTTGCCAAAGCGTATGGAGACGTCACGGTTTTACTCGCCGCTCCCTCCATCTTGCCTTCAATTTGTTTTCCGTCAGATTGTGTCATACCTAACGCTCTGATACCATAAAAGATCTGATAATGCTTTGTATTGATTCAGATGATGTTACAATGAGACTTTACATCGCCTTATATACATGACGAAGATCTTAACAAACTAGATACACACTTATCTTCTCTAGTATATTCACAACCGAATATACGTAAGATCCTAATATCTTGAGCTTCAGAATATTCTCTAACTATATCCCAATACATTCTTTATTTGTTTGTTTATTATTTTACAGAAACGTGGTGATATTCGTTTTGTTCTCTCGGATTTATCTATATAACTTTTTTCATATAATGTTATCGAAACTATCAGATCAAGTATAGCATTGAAAATAAAATAGAAAAGAATTGACAAAATAAAACAAAAACTGATATAGATAAAAAGAAAAAGAGTAAAAGTATGGTGTTTTAATTGTGTATTGGTGTTTTAAAAACTTTCCATCAATTTGTTTTTTTTTCTCTCAAAATAATTTTTATATTATATTTAATATATATATATATATATATAAAAAATTGCGTCCGTGCGTACGCACGGGAGATAATACTAGTTAAGAAGTAAACGGAGGGTAAGAAGAATCAAGGTAGAAAAAAATCTTTTAGAGTAAAGATAAGAAACACCTTAGGAGCTCGTGCTGAAGAAAACTGAGGCAAATTTTGACTGTTGATGTCCTTCGGCTCACAGCTTTTTCCAGCCTCATCATTATAGAATCCAAAACGCTTTGGTTCATATCTAAAACGGCTCCATTCCCTACAGATGAGACTAAGTTTATGAGTATTACAAACAATCAACGAGTAAGTAATACTCTCACTGCCTCATTGAGTAACCTTTTCTACTAAAAATGCAAATTCACAAACACAATGATCAGCTGCTCTAGTCTTAACTCACCTAAAGAATGTAAGTGATGATGATAGTCTGTTGATATCAGTTTTGTCAATATTTATACCAGATTCACCGCAGAGATCACTGATAGAGTCCACTGCCTTCAAATGATTCTCAACGGAATAGTCAAACGTTGAGATGCTACAGCCTTCTTCACCACTTCCTGAAGGCTCTTCTTCATTCATTTGAACCGTTTTTTTTTTACTGTTTCAAACTCATTCATACAACATTAAGTAGATATTGATGCTTTAGCACATCGATCGCTGGAGAATTTTCAATTTTGAGAAAGCAGACTAAGTTGAGCATCAACAACGGAATTGCATGTAAAGGAATCAGGAAGATTTGAATATTTCGAAGCAAGATCGAGGAACTAAACTTGGACGAACAGAACTTACAGGCGACAGTAAACAACGGTTGCGGCAAAGGCTTTTTCCTCCCGCTCCAGAGTTCGACTACTCATACTGAGAGCACCCACATTGGTGTATCCCCAAAGTGAATCCTTAAGTATATTAAATTTTTTTTTTTTTTTTTTTGAATAGTTAAGGACCATAATTCAATTTGTATGTCCATTGGTGTTTTCCATTCCGGAATCCTTAGGAATAAAATAATATTTAATTTTCGAAAATATAAGAATAAAATTTTATTTATAGAATGATTAAATATGAAAATACAACAATGATTAAATATGAATAACTATACTCTACTATATTCTGTGATTTTTTAATTATGTGATTGTGTGATTTGTATGTCATTATTTGCTTGGATAATGTGATTTGTATTAACGTATGTTGAAGTAAAAGAACGAGCAATAATTGGTAGGGAGATAATATCCAAACAAAAGACAAAGAAAAAATCAATATAGTTTTGCCCAAACTCATGCCATGTCACCAAGGATCAACCTAAAAAAATCCTTAGCAAAGGATTGATCCTTGGTGTTTACCATTTTTTTATTAATATTTTAGCAAAAATTGCATAGGTATTAGTGCTAAGGATTGTTTAAATCCTCCAATGTGGGTGGTCTGACATTTTTAGTATCGACAGGTTAGTTTTTTTTCTTAAAATTAGATAATGGGCTTTTAATGGGCCTTCAGGTTATATCAAATTAACCTTTATACCTTCTCCCAGACTTTTTTTTAAGACCAGAACAACAATAGCTCGCTCACATAAGGCATCAAGACATTCACGAACAGAGACAGCAAACTCGGAGGAAATCAGCTAAGCATGTTGAAAAGGCTCTCCTGATGTGTGCATCAACACTTTAGTCTCTTAAAACTCAAGCTCCACTCCACCTCATGCATAGCAATGTTGCATTTGAACCAAGACATGGGTGGCACCTCGGAAGAATTAATCCATTTCTTGATCACCACACTCTCGTGAATATCATATACCATATGCAAGTGGACCGTTCAACTCCTGTGCCAAAAACAAGAAATATACTTCTTCCTTCACTTTCCTCATAATACCATCTACCATTTGCATTTCACCTTCGTGCTTAACATCAAATAAAAGTAACAACTATTAGTGTTTGCACGTATTAGCATCATAACCAATCAAAAATCTGTGCCAATATTTGTTTGAGGTAATAAATAGCGAATAATATTACAATAGTTATGAACTTGATACTTAATTCCTAGTTACAGTATCTTGTTACCTGCCTTCATGATGACGGATACTCGTTTTTCAAGGTCACAGTGCAGGTATTAGGTATAGGGCAAGAAATAGACTGTTCATTACTCTCGAGTAATAAGTTCATGGATCATACTCAGGGGCTGGGGTAACACAATGGGTGCATGTGCACCCACTATTTTTTAAAAATGTTATTTTGTAAGGTAAATTATTATTAGATAAACTAGAAAACTCTCTTTATTGCACCCACTAATTCATTTTATACACTTAGTGCTGCACCCAGGAATTTTAATGTTTAGATTTGTTTCTGCGTGATAGCAATGTTGCACTTGCACTAGAAGACCCAATTTTTTTTCTATATTGACTGACTTACAAAGTCATTTGCCTAGTGGACGGTTGTATGTTGAAAAACGAGCGGTAAAAGAATACAGAGAGTTCTCCTGTACTTCAGTACTTTTATTGGAACTAATCGTAACTTTAGCAGTAATTTTTACTGTTCGAGCTCAAATTTTTCTTTTGGAGTTTGGGTTTCTGAAGAATTTAGGAGATTTCAAAATTACAAATAATGTCTTAAATGACACTGTCCAGTTTTTTCGTAGGTCTACATTGACATGATCAACACGCAAACTTTGTGACTTTTTGGATACTGATAAATTTGATGTGTCTATTTGATGTGTGAGAGTGAGAGATAGAGAAAATTCAAAGTCTTTCTTTTCTACTGTGATTGTGAGACTTTGTAGGGCATGTTTGGAATTAATCAAAAAACAACGCGGGGTCGACTATTGACTTACGCCATCAGAAATTCGCCACTGTTCGATTCCATTTACTCTTGGAAAAAAACTGTTACCGACACAGCACCCAAACTTGTCCTATAACATTCCCCAAGTTCTTATGAAACTCGAAAGAGTTTGATGCTGTTTTAGGCTGTGCTGCAAGTAACCAGAGCTTTCTTCTGAACTTGCCTGGCACGGAACAAAACCAGTCCATTATAGAGAAACAATATCATGAGGTGCAATAACAATTACACTTTCTTCATTCTTCTCTCTTTTTTACTCATATCCATCCTTGATTCAAAAGCCCACACTCTCCCAAGCTGGTGTCAAACCAAATGCGGAAATATAAATATTCCATACCCCTTTGGAATTCAAGAAGGTTGCTATCTCAACGAATGGTACAAAATCAAATGCAGAAACGCTACTTTTCCCTTCCTCTTCAAGGTGAACATGGAAGTTGTGAATATCTATTTGCCAAAAGAAAGATATATGTCTCAGCCGTTTTTTGACAAGCCGTTAGACGAGCCAGACATGTCATTCGGGTCAATTCGTCTCAAAAGCCCGATAACATCCATTGGATGTTCCAGAGATGGAAAAGAGTCTGGATCGGCTTTGAATTTGACGGGCAGCCCTTTCTTTATTGGAAAAGTAAACAGCCTTGTGACGGTTGGTTGCAACAGCATGGCATCGTTGACTAACATCGAGCCGACCAAGGTGAGATGCAAGCTAGATTGCATTACAAAGAAAGATATATTACCTAGAAACAGCGTCCCTTTTTTGGGCAATACCGAGTGTTCTGATGAGGGGATTACTTATATTACAAACAATCCAAATTGTATAAGTATTGAAGGGGAACGTAAAAGAAGCTGTGATGGTAATGGATGCTGCAGCGCTAGTCTGTTGCATGTTGACTCCCACCAGGTAGTCGGTGTCCAAATAGAGAGCTTTGATCATGGGAACTCGACAAGAACTGGATGCAGAGTCGCTTTCTTAACAGATGAAGACTACACGTTCTGGAAAGTAACCAAACCACAAAGGTTTTTCGCTGATGGGTATTCTACAGTTAGGCTAGGATGGGTCATTCAGACGAATAATCTTTCCTTCTTGAACTCGCTAGGCTGCAAAAATGGAGATGAGTACTATAGTGCTGCACCTAATGATAGATACGGTACAAGTTGCGTCTGCGACAATATCACCATTTCTGGGACCAGCTATGCAAACTGTCAATGCAGCGATGGTTATACAGGCAACCCATACATCTTGAACCAGTGCAAAGGTTAGTAAACTTTTTGTCAAATCTTTTCTTTTTGTACAGTATGTGTTAACATCCCCTTAAAATGTTACAAAAAAAAAAAAAAAAAAAAAAACATCCCCTTAAATTAGGATTAATTATAATATCTTCCATATGTGATTTCAACGATCTTTCATATCCCTTATTATCCAGATGTTAATGAGTGTCTAGCAACTGACTCTACTGGAAGATATGGGGTCTGTAGAAGTATCGACACGTGCGTGAATGAGATAGGGCATTATAAATGCCTACGCGATAAGACTGTACCAATATTGATAGGTAAGTCACTGGATCTGGATGCCTTCGTAGTATAGATGCCTTCTTAAAATTTAACTAATGACAACTAACATAGTCTTTTTGTACCGTTTACAGGAGTAGGTTCAGGTTTTGGTATTTTAGTCCTAATTGGTGGTACCTGGTTTTTGATAAGGTATCTCAAGAAGAGAAAGGTGGCTCAGAGGAAAAAGAAATTCTTCAAACGTAACGGAGGACTATTGCTGCAACAACAACTCAATACAAGAGAAGGTAACATCGAGAAGACAATATTATTTAGCTCGAGAGAACTTGAAAAAGCCACTGAAAACTTCAGCGAAAGCAGAGTACTTGGACAAGGTGGTCAAGGCACTGTGTACAAAGGAATGCTGGTAGATGGTCGAACAGTTGCAGTAAAAAAATCCCAAGTTGTGGATGAAGACAAACTAGAAGAGTTCATCAATGAAATCGTCATTCTCTCCCAGGTCAACCATAGACATGTCGTCAAACTCTTGGGATGTTGTCTTGAAACAGAAGTTCCTGTTCTGGTTTACGAGTTTATCCCCAACGGTAACCTTTTCCAGCACATCCATGAAGAATATGATGACTACACAATGATATGGGGCGTGCGTCTGCGCATAGCAATTGATATAGCAGGAGCTATTTCATATCTACACTCTTCTGCGTGTTCTCCTGTTTATCACAGAGATGTCAAGTCAACAAACATAATGCTAGACGAGAAGTATCGAGCCAAGGTATCTGACTTCGGTACTTCAAGATCAGTCACCGTAGATCATACTCACTGGACAACAGTCATATCAGGCACCGTCGGATACGTGGATCCAGAGTACTATGGTTCCAGCCAGTATACCGACAAGAGTGATGTTTATAGCTTTGGTGTCATCCTCGTTGAGCTAATAACAGGCGAGAAGCCTGTATTAACTCTTCCGGGGTCTCAAGAAATAAGAGGCTTAGCAGATCATTTCCGAGCTGCCATGAAAGAGAACAGATTCTTTGACATCATGGATGCTCGAATAAGAGATGCATGCAAACCAGAACAAGTAATGGCAGTGGCAAATCTTGCAAGACGATGTTTGAATTCTAAGGGAAAGAAGCGGCCATATATGACGGAAGTGTTTTCCGAGTTAGAGAGGATATCTTCATCTCCCGAGAATGCATTGGTGAAGATTGAAAATGATGATGATGGTGATGATGTAGAGGAAGAAGGAATGAATATGATAGATATAGCTGAGTCATGGACCGTTGGTGTTACTGCTCCAGCCTTCAGTACTGTCGCTTCGCCTTCCTCTGCAGATGTTCAACCATTGTTTCCTCGTACCACATGGTGAGGTGTGGAAAAGGGAAGGTAATTCTGAATAAAACGGATGCTACTTTCAAAGATTTGATATATATTGGTAATTTAGATGTTGTTGTGTTTGCCTTTGTCTTCTTCTCCTAAAAACACCGGATCCTTCATGTATAATGTTTACATTCAAGTGGAAGTTGGTTAATAAAACCATGTTGGTTTGTTGGCTTCCTTGCGATGTACTGTACAAACTAAAACCATGTTGTTTTTTTTCTTTGACAAAAACTAAAATCAAACAATGAGATGCTACATTTTTCTTCACCACTTCCCGAAGGCTCTTCTTCATCCATTGATTCCTTTTTCTTTACTGTTCAAATTCCTCCTAGAACATAAGTTGAAGCAAGAATTGAAGTTCAGCACATGGATCACCGGATAATTTTTTAGCAACAATGAAATTGCATATAAAAGGAATTTCGAAATTTCTAAAAAGAGATCCAGGACTGAAGGACCGAAAAACTTACCGGTGACAAGACAGCGGTTGCGGCGAAGACACTCTTGACTCTTGATGTTTTTTTCTCTTCCCGTCCTGAGATCGATGACTCCTCGTACTGAGATTTAATACCGACAGTTTAGCTTTTTTATTTTATTTTATTATTACGGAATGCACCGTTAATGGGACTCCGGACATTCCCGCCTAAAAAGTCGTTGATCAATTAACAAACCCGATTCCCAAATTTCCATACATGTCAATAGTAATAAATACTTGAATATCAACCACTGATTGGTTAAAATTGAAACTATTTAGATTATCTCCGATTCCAGTCCCCTTTTTATTTTAAAGTAGAGTTTTCAGTAATCTTACTCCATTTTTTTTCACTCCCATGTAATAAAATAAATTTTACTTCATAAACATAGTAATATATTTATCTTTTAATTCACTATTCCATTTTTTACTCCAGAGAAGAATTGAAATAAAAACCAACCCATTTTATTAAGGCTGCAATTGGATTGTTGATTTTTGGAATGTAATAACGTGAAAATTATTCATTCCATTTAATACTATTATTTTTTTCATGTTTGACGTGAATAGAATGGAATATTCTCTATAATTTTGTTCATGAATTAATGGAATGAAATATAATTCATTTTTAGTATATTTAGTTCCTATCATTTCATTTATTTGTATTCCATCATTTCTTTATTATTGTACTAGTTACACCCTAAATAGTTACTCCATTTAAGAGAAAAATGTAAAGTTCTAAGTTGAAAGCCATAGTAGTAGAGTACTAAAGGCTTCGATGAAACCAAGTAAAATTTTAATAGCTGCAATTTGCTGGTCTTCTATACCTATGTTCTCCGAACAAAGGAGTACGCAGGGGGCAATGACTTTTCTGACCAAGAGAGAGATAACGTCTAACTTTCTTTGCCATGTTGTTTTTCATGATAGCGATGTTGCACCAGAAGACCCATTTTTTTCTTTATTGACTGAATTACAAAGTTTGATTTTGTTTAGTTGTTGGCTGCTTGCCTTCAACATCAAAGTCAGTGGGTTTTCTTATTTTTCTTTGAGCGGTAAAACTGTGCTTTTATTGGAACTAATCGTAGCTTTAGCAATCATTCATATCGTTCCGACTCAGTTTTTTTTTTTAGAATTTAGGGTTTCTTAAGAATGTAGGAGATTTTAAAATTTGAAATCAGGTGGAGTATGAGGACTAATGTCTTAAATGACACTGTCTAGTTCTTGGACACTGATTTTATTTTGGAGTGTTCTTTACTGTGTGAGATACAGAGAAAAAAATTCAAAGTCTTTCTTTTCCACCGTCAACGAGGGGTTTAGGTACTGACTTAGGCTATTAGAAAATTCGCATCTAGTTGATTCCATTTACTCCCGGACAAATAACTCTTATCGACACATTACCCAAACTTGTCCTATAATATCTCCCAAGTTCTTACGTAACTCGGGAAGACTTTGATGTTGTTTTTTAACCTGTGTTGCAAGTAACTGGTGTTTTTTTCTTTCTGAGAGGAGCTTGTTTGTGTAGCAAGGAACAAATTAAGTCCATTAAAAGAAGCAAAATCATGAGGTGCTATATTAATTATACTTTGTCGATTCTTCTCTCTTTTTTACTCATGCCCATCCTTGATTCAAAATCCCACACTCTCACGAGCCGGTGTCAAACCAAATGTGGAAACATAAATATCCCGTACCCCTTTGGAATCCAAGAAGGTTGCTATCTCAACGAGTGGTACAAAATCAAATGCAAAAACGCTACTTCTCTGTTCCTTTTCAAGATTGGCATGGAAGTTGTGGATATCTCTTTGCCAAGCCCAGGAAATGAAAAACATATTACCCATTCTTACCAGTTATTCGGGACAATTCGTGCCAAAAGCCGGATAGCATCAGTTGGATGTTCCAAAGATGGAAAAGAGTCTGGATCGACTTTGAATCTGACGGGCAGCCCTTTCTTCGTTGAGAGAGCAAACAGCCTGGTAGCGGTTGGTTGCAACAGCGAGGCGTGGTTGACTAACATCGAGCCGAGAATGGTGGGATGCGTGCTGAATTGCACTGCAGGCAAAGTTACGTTACCTAGAAAAAGCAAAAGCGTCCCTTTTTTGGACAAAACCGGGTGTTCTAAGGACGGGTTAACTTATACTACTAACACACAAAATTGTTCAAATAGCAAAGGTGAAGGTGAAAGAAGCTGTGATAGTAACGGATGCTGCAGTGCTAATCTGTCGCCTGATGAAGCTTACCAGGTAGTCGGTGTCGGAATAGAGAGCTTCGATCATCGAAACTCGACAAGCGGAGGAGAATGCAGAGTCGCTTTCTTAACAGATGAAGACTACACGTTTTGGAATGTAATCGAACCACAAAGAATTTTCGCTCGAGGGTATGCTACAGTTACGATAGCATGGGTCATTCAAACGGATAATATTTCCTTTATCAACTCGTTAAGCTGCAAAAACGATAATGGGTACGATTATTTTTTGTCTAGTATGGGACGACATAGACACCCTACAAGTTGCTTATGCGAAAATATCACCATTTATGGGACCAGCTATGCAAACTGTCAATGCAGCCCAGGCTATGCAGGCAATCCATACCTCTTTAAGGATTGCAAAGGTCAGTAACTCCTTTCGTTTTGTGTGTGTTAACATCTAGTTAAATTAGGAGTACAAATTTTCCATGTAAAGAGACTTAGTGTAATTAGATTCCAATGATCTTTTTCCTATCTCTTATCCAGATATTAATGAGTGTCTAGCAACTGATTATCATGGAAGAGGCAGGGCTTGTAGAGAAAGCGAGACTTGCGTGAATCTGGCTGGAGATTTCAAATGCATCCTCAATAAGACTATAATATCATTTATAGGTAAGTCACTGAATGTATCTTCGGTTTCAGATAGCACTTAACATCATGTAAAAACCCTCTTAAATTGTACAGATGACGATTGATCATACAAGTTTTTGTGTCGTTTCCAGGATTAGGTGCAGGTTTTAGTATTTTAGTCCTAGTTGGTGGTATCTGGTTGCTGGCAAGGTATCTTAAGAAGAGAAAGGTGACTCGGAGGAAAAAGATGTTCTTCAAACGTAATGGAGGACTATTGTTGCAACAACAACTCAATACAAGAGAAGGTAACGTAGAGAAGACAAGAATATTTAGCTCGACGGAACTTGAAAAAGCCACTGAAAACTTCAGCGAAAGCAGAATACTTGGACAAGGTGGTCAAGGCACTGTGTACAAAGGAATGCTGGTAGATGGTCAAATGGTGGCTGTCAAAAAATCCAAAGTTGTGGATGAAGACAAACTAGAGGAGTTCATCAACGAAGTTGTCATACTCTCCCAAGTCAACCATAGACATGTCGTCAAACTCTTGGGATGTTGTCTGGAGACCGAAGTTCCTGTTCTGGTTTACGAGTTTATCCCCAACGGTAACCTTTTCCAGCACATCCATGAAGAATATGATGACTACACAATGATATGGGGCGTGCGTTTGCGCATAGCAGTTGATATCGCAGGAGCTATTTCGTATCTACACTCTTCTGCGTGTTCTCCCGTTTATCACAGAGATGTCAAATCAACAAACATAATGCTAGACGAGAAGTATCGAGCCAAGGTATCTGACTTCGGTACTTCAAGATCAGTAACGGTAGATCATACTCACTGGACAACAGTCATTTCAGGCACCGTCGGATACGTGGATCCAGAGTACTATGGTTCCAGCCAGTATACCGATAAGAGTGATGTTTATAGCTTTGGTGTCATCCTCGTCGAGCTAATAACAGGTGAGAAGCCTGTATTAACTCTTCCGGGGTCTCAAGAAATAAGAGGCTTAGCGGATCATTTCAGAGCTGCCATGAAAGAGAACAAATTCTTTGATATTATGGATGGTCGAATAAGAGATGCATGCAAACCAGAACAAGTAATGGCAGTGGCAAATCTAGCAAGGAGATGTTTGAATTCCAAGGGAAAGAAGCGGCCATATATGACGGAAGTGTTTGCCGAGTTAGAGAGGATATCTTCATCTCCAGAGAATGCATTGGTAAATCTTGAAAATGAGGACGGTGATGATGCAAAGGAAGAAGGAATGAATATGATAGAGATTGCTGATTCATGTACCGTTGGTGTTACCGCTCCAGTCTTAAGTACTGTAGCTTCACCTTCATCGGCAGGTGTTGAACCATTGTTTCCTCGTACCACATGGTGAATTCTGACAAAGGGAAGGTGATTCTGAATCAAATGGGTGCTAGTTTCAAAGATTTGATATATATATATATGGTAATTTAGATGTTGTTGTGTTTGCCTTTGTCTTCTTCTCCTTACACGCATGTTCCTGTATAATATTTTCAATTATCTCTAGTGTTTGTTAATAAATGTATTACTACATGTACCAGTACTAACGAAAATCATGTTAGAGAGTTGAAGTGAACTTTCTACATTGTTGAACACAACCTAGTTTTTCCACTTTATTATCACAAGTTTCAATCTACACAAAACAGGACATGAATCCTTATTTCCCAAGATCTAGGCCACAAAGTGTACAAGCTTTTCTTGGCATCCGTCGTTAAGAGAATGAAGCAAAGCAAAAACATCCCAATTACCTCATATATATATAAAGATTATCAGGTTACAGATTTGCTCAAAAATAAATTAAATTATCAGATTACAGCAATCTTAAGCAGTTTGATTTCCTTTAAGTACCTGATACGGAACGTGTGCATGCAATTAAGGACCAAAACTCATATGAAATAATGAACTCTAGAGAGGCTAATGATGAAAGAAAATCAGAGGAACCTCTTTGCAACTCTTCATCAGCATTTTTGCATTCAGAGTCCATCGTCCTACTTGGAAGGAGACTGCTTCCTCGACACATTGATAGAGTGGAGAAAAACCTCTAAAGCTTTTCTTTGGTGGCACACCAACAACTGAAAAAAGCAATTCTTGGAACATATCCATCACTTTTGAATTATCGAATATCTGGAGGATTAAAGACCCAACAACTAGCGTAGCTTACAATAAGTATTAGCACACCCCCACAGACCCATCGCCATCAGAACAAAAATTACTTTACCCAACACTTGGGATCATTAATGTATGTTAGTCATAGCCACAGTTGCCACAAAAGTCAATCCGAACCGAAGAAGTGTGTTAGCTTGAGAAACTTATGGAGAATAGTATTCTGCAGACTTGTCAACTATGAGAGTGAGTGCGACCTACATGACGGCGTTAGAGTAACAGAACTGTATTCTGATATTATGCAACATAAGTACTGGAAAACGAAAAAGAAACCTCAATTAATGCTATGAATTTAGATCGTGAATCGCCAAGTCCTAAAGCCATTAAACCAAGGTTTCGACTACTTTTACCCATGGTTCTTCCATATGCATTCTGTTTCTGTAAAGAAAAGAAAACGCTGATTAAAACATCAGTACCTTGATTTTGGTCACTAGAGGCTCTGTGTCATGATTTTGATTCCCCTTAGGATGATAGCACATGCAAAAAAAAAAAAAGCATCTCAAGGAGACCAAGAGATACTCAATATTGGATCAGGTATGTGATTCCCTTGGGACAATAGCACATGCGTAGAGCATATCACAGAGCACAAGTGATTAGGACTCAATATCGGGACAGTGATTCTCTTCCTGGTTTGGGTCATGCAAGAAGCATATTAAAAAGGCACAAGTGATGCCTATACATGGATTTGTGGTATGCAAGAAGCATATACACGAGAGAGACGCATGCACACACACACACACACGGAGTTTGGAGGGAGGGAGAGGCGGATAAAGAAAGAACATTAACAATCCCGTGCCATCTCCCATCCCTCCGCAGAACCAAAAACTCTTTTTATTTATTAAAGGGTTTTTGACCTGCCAAGCAAGCGCACCTGTCATGGCAAAGGCCATATTCATCTGCTGTTCTTTTTTTACATCTTTTTCTTTCTTTTTCCCGAAATATGTGCAAGAGTTTAAACCTATGGATACAGATAAAGCAACCAGAATATATACCAGGACGACTAAGATCGTTCTCTTTTCATCAGGAGAATTACACACGGCCTTCTTGATCAACGAGAATTGATCACAGTATCAAAAAAATCAACGCAAGACCCGAATAAGTAAGTCAGAAACCGTAGCAACCAATCCAGAAACCCTAATAGCATACAAGAAAAAAGTACCTCTATGACCTGCGTGACAAACAAGGAGATTCTTATGATAATCAGAGAAACAAAGGAAGATAAGAATATAAATCGGAACTACTTATCAAAAGAACAAAAAAAATTATTAATCGGAACTTGAAACCAAACTTACATGATGAAGAAGCGATCAGCGGCGGGAGATTTAGGTGAAGATCATAGGGTCTGCTTTTTATATATACAAGATATCAAAGAGATCCTACGGTTGTCAATTGTTGAAAGTGTAAATTAATCAACGGTGTAGATGAAGCGCAACAACAAAAGGCGGTTATTTATGTTCGCGCGTTATTAATCTGTTAAGCTTCATTTAAATTCTGATGACACGTATCCTAATCTCTAAATAAAAGTTATAAAAAAAAAATTGTGACAACATGTAGGATTCCCTTCCTTAATATATAATCCTTGAAAATAACTCCTTTGTTTATTTTGGTAAAAATAATTTGAAACAGATTGAAAATAGATTTGCTTGTAATACAATTTGGTTGCTATATAATTGTTTTCAAACACCAATACATCAATGAAAACGCTATTTTTGCATTTTCATTTTATTTGATTTTTCTATATACAAGAAAATCTTTTTTTGTTATTCTCTTGGGCTTTCGTCTTCACAACTCAACGACTATTGGGCTGGGCCATAGCAGAGTCAGGCTTAAGAGAGCGACTAAGAGACAGTTTAGCTATATCGGTAATAGCCCCGTTTCGTACGGCGGCGGAATCACTGACCAGAAACTCATACGCCGCCTCGAAAGCATCTCTCCAGAACTGAGGAACTCTTACTCCACCGGAGCGTCCGTACACATCCCACATATGCCTCACCACTTTCTCTCTCTCCTCAATTTCCTGTCGGAACCGGAAAAAAAAATAATCTCAAAATTAGAAAGAAAACAAAAATTATTTCAATTTCATTAATGATTTAATTCGTACCAAAACGTCGAGATCGTGGATGACGTGGAATCCGAACTCTCCGTCAACGGAATGAAAAAGACCGAGTCCTTTGAGAGAGACGGAACCGGTTAACATAGAACCTAACGCCAAGAGGAGAACCGCTACTAAAACCCAAAGCTTGTAACTAGCGCGTTTGCGGTCGGAACCGCTGTTTACTGGTTTTCTCAACGGTAGGAGTGTTTGCGATTCGGAAAATTTCATTTTTGATCTTTGGATTGAGTTTTGTGTTACGATGATGGCTCCTTGATAAAGGAACAAGGGGATCAGTATGAAATGAGAGACTTTTGTAAGTGGATAAAAACCCGTACTTTAAAAACTAAGTGGGGACAAGGGAGTTGACTTCGTGTTGACTTTATTAACGCGTCGGCTTATTGAGGCTGCGACTATAGCTAATCCAGACGGTGGATAAATAAGTCTTCGTGTCCAAACACTCCTTACGATAACCAATATAACCAACCAATCCTGATATGCTTTTACGGTCTGACCAAACCCGTTTTGGAGTTGCAATGGGTTTGTTTTTATTATAATCGCTCTAATGGGCTAAGTCAAAAAAGCCTCAGTCCATTTTAGTGTCAATCTTATCAAAGTTTTACACATACTTTTGTTTGAGATACAAAGTCTCCATTGTTCCAAATGTATTTTTGCTTACAAATATATGTGATGTATAGTTTGTAAAAAAAATATTCGATCAAAAACAAAACACAAAAGTTTACGTCTAAACTTAACCTACTAATTAAGAGTGACTTGATGAGAAAGAGAGATATTAAAATAGCTAATGAAGCATCTCAACTTACTGCAAGTTTAATAGGAAATCAAACTCATCTAGACAGATAATGTGTACATTGTGTTTGCGTATATGTAGATGCACTCTAATCTTCCTTTCTTTCCTTTTTTCCTTTCGTTTTACTTTGCATAAGTTTACATTTTGTTATCTCTGTTAATTGTTTGTGATCTATGGCTCTATAAAAAAAACACATGTAGATATAGGAATTTGTAGAGTCGACTAACATGTTTGATCAAATATTGTCCAAACGTCTGAATATCAATTATTTTTTTATATGGAGATGCATGTAAGTGGAAACCAACAATAACATATCCATAAAGAATCGTCTTTTGGTTATAAGTGGAAACCAACTAAATAATGGTCTGTGTGTGGACAGTTCAAATGGACGTTGAACGGATCAATTGACAACTCTACCTACATAAGGGCGACAGCTTTCGTTCCCGAAATCTCTTGGGATAGTACATTCTTTCTAGCTAACTCTGAATAGATAAAAGAACAATTCTATAAATATTTGTCCATATAAGTATTCACATAAAAGGTCCATATATTCTTTGTTTACTACACATATCCATATGGCATCATGGCTTTTATGAAAGGTTCTTATCTTTATTATGGTCCCGATTACACTAGTCATTAGTCAACTATCTAGTAAGAAAAGGGGTATTGGTCTGATAGAGATAATTAGGTTTCAAAGCATATATCTTGCCATTCGAGCATTTTGAAAACTTTTGTAATTAAGAAGAGTGTAAAAATATAGAGATTGGTGTATATTGCGGTATGAGTATGTTGCTCTGAATACTGATTTGGAGAATAAGTCAAAGGTGGTCCACGAACGAACAAAATGAACTTATGCAAAGATAACATATCGTACGTTCACATGTCGTCCATCTATCTAGATAACTAAACACTTAGTTGTAGGGACGATGACTCATGGAAGATATCAAGTGCGTGTCTATAATGAATGATCGTTGTATTTGTAATGCCTCGCTATACTTTATACATGAAGCTACTAGGCTAGTTATCTTAGTGACAATATCACTTTAAACTGTACACTAGATATCACATTTGAGTATAGATTTTCAACACTTAAACTATGTTTTTAAGCTGTAACTAACAGTATCATACATAGCTAAGACTTAATACGAATATTACAGTATGGTTCAGCAATTTGATATACTGAGACCAGCCAATTACCAAATCTTCAAGAACATATTCTAACATTGCCCATGCACACAATCACACATGTTAGGTCAAACATATTGTGTCCACTCAATGTCCATGCGATCATGCCTATATATATACACACATCATTAGAGTGTACTCATCAACAACATCATAAGAAAGAAAAAAACATATAACGAGAAACGGTGACATGAAGAATGAGAAGTTGTTTGGTAGCCAAGGATGACTTGCCTGCGTCTTGAACCATATCTATCAGAGACTTGATCAACAGTCTCTGAGTTGGTTAGTCGTTAGGCAGTCTCCTTGGCTATTCAGACAATTCTCTTTCTCCTCATTTCACATTTCTTTTTTTTCAAAGACCAAACACATAAAGAGCCAATACAATCGATTTTGCTTAGCCACTAAAACGATTTTCTTTTTGGTTGGTCTTTGTATTGATGTTATAATCGTAAAAGAAAATATGTTTTTTTCTTGGCATCTCATATGAGATTGGGGTGGACTTTGTTCATCTATAACCCACTGAGGCGGGTCGGATCTTGGTTCAAGCGGGTTTTGCATCTGGACTTTTGCATTTGTATTGTTCTTATGACATGTAACAACGGTTACTTGAAGAGAGTTTTAATATTTATAAACTGTTTTTTTTTCTTATTCTCTGCCGCACAACTAAAAATATTAGTGGTCTAACCGCTGGAAATCGCGTTATTGATAGCTGAATTTTAACAATATGCTATTATTGAAAGTTAGGCAGCTTAACTAACCTCAATCATAGTGTTTTGGTCAATCATGCGTAATCGTGCTAGCAAGTGGATTATACATATGAACATTATTTGATTATGTTGACTATCAGATAAGTCAGCGGAATAATCATTTCATCCAACGGTTAAAATTTTATCTTAAACTAAAACACCTACACCGCGAAGCAGAGGAATATGAATTAAGCAGCCTTTGTTTCATCGTCGTCGCTGTCTTCACAGAAGAGGCCAAAAGAAGCTGTCTCTTCCCTCAACAACTTCAAAAAGCTAAGAGCTTTGACCCCAAAGACCACCGAAATAAAACACCACACTGTTCTCGTTTAGCTTCTCCTCTCTTTGATCTCGCTTTAGTAAAGAGAGGAGAGAAACGTCACCGACCATGGCGAGTCGTAGAGACAGAACACAACAGCTCCGTGGATCTCGAATCGCGATCTCCATCCTCATCGGTATCATCATCGGCTGCGTATGCGCCTTCATGTTCCCAAACGGTTTCTTCAACTCAAACTCGTCTCTTACAGTTAACGAACACGTCCAGGTACTAAAGATTAGATTTTTTTATAGTTTCACTTGGCGAAAGTTAATCCCTTTCTTTGTCTCTTGTTGTTTGTTTAGGTTTCATCGTCTTGTGAATCCTCCGAACGAATCAAGATGCTAAAGTCAGACTTTACATCTCTCTCTGAGAAGAACTCAGAGTTAAAGAAACAGGTCAGGGAGCTAACTGAGAAGCTGCGTTTAGCTGAACAAGGATCAGACAATGCAAGAAAACAGGTTCTGTCTTTAGGATCACAGATAAAGGCTGGTCCTTTCGGAACAGTCAAGAGTTTAAGAACAAACCCAACTCTCCTCTCTGACGAATCTGTAAACCCAAGATTGGCTAAGATTCTAGAGGCTATCGCTGTGGATAAAGAGGTGATTGTAGCTCTTGCAAACGCTAATGTGAAAGCAATGCTGGAAGTTCAGATCGCTAGCGTTAAGAGATTAGGTATAAAGAACTATCTTGTAGTGGCATTGGATGATTATATAGAGAGTTTCTGTAAACAAAACGATGTTGCTTATTACAAGAGAGATCCAGACAAGGATGTAGACGCTGTCGGGAAGACAGGAGGGAACCATGCTGTCTCCGGCCTCAAGTTCCGTGTGTTAAGAGAGTTTTTGCAGCTAGGTTACGGTGTTCTCCTCTCTGATGTAGACATTGTCTTCTTGCAGAATCCCTTTAGGCATCTGTACAGAGACTCTGATGTTGAGTCAATGAGTGATGGGCATAGCAACATGACTGCTTATGGATTCAACGATGTGTCTGATGAGCCGGCCATGGGGTGGGCTAGGTATGCTCACACCATGAGGATATGGGTTTTCAACTCCGGGTTTTTCTATCTGAGACCTACGGTTCCTTCAATAGAGCTGCTTGATCGGGTTGCTGATAGGTTATCAAAGGCAAAGCTTTGGGATCAAGCGGTTTTTAATGAGGAGTTGTTTTATCCTTCGCATCCTGAGTATGTTGGGCTGCATGCTTCAAAGAGGGTGATGGATATGTATGAGTTTATGAATAGTAAGGTTCTTTTCAAGACTGTGAGGAAGGATGAGGAGCTGAAGAAGAATGTGAGGCCGGTGATTGTTCATGTGAATTATCATCCAGATAAACTTGATAGAATGAGAGCAGTGGTTGAGTTTTATGTAAACGGTAAGCAAGATGCGCTTGATAGCTTCCCAGATGGTTCTGAATGAAACTTTACTTGAAAAGCAGAGTAGAGTTAAAAGTTAAATATTTCCTCACATTTTGTGATTCTAGTTTTACAACTTTTACTTTTACTTAATTGTTTCCATGTTAAATGCTCCATGCCTTCTGTTTTCTTTTTTGTATTATGAGTTTTGTGTAAGTTATAGCTAAAAGTTTCAACTCTTTTTATATTTTTCCCCAGTTTCATTATATAAGCTAGGAACCTTTTTTCTTACACACTGTTCTTGTGCTCTGTTTCAACTCTGTTTTAACCCTTCCTGTTCCTCAGTATCATCACTTGGTATATCTCAAGTTTAATCCAGTTCAAGTAACTTCATGATAAAATATTTGTAATGTCTTACAAAAGACCTACAAGAAATGATATAATAATAGAAACATGAATCTTAAACATTCTATCTACAAATAATGACTTGTCAAACAAACTCACTGGTAAAATGAATATAGATTCTAGTAAAAGAACCAAAACCAAATAACTGAACAACAACACACTAACACCCAAACCATAGCCACAAAAGGGTTCTTCTTTTTTGTTCTTTCATATCAACTAACGACCTTTAGCGTTTCCAAGTGTGAGCTCAAGATCCTCCATAGCAACATCATGGATCCTCTCCCCTTCCCACGGCTTCACCTGCTTATTCTCAAACTTAAACTCCGAGCTTTGACCAATCTCCTGTGTCGCTCCAGCGTTTGGAGACATCTGCTGAGGCACAGGCGGTTTCACAAGATTAAAAGTAGGAGAAGCCGGCACTACAGAACCAACAACATGAAAAGGCTGTTGAGAGAACTTCTGAAAGCTTATCCAATGCCCCGAATCAACAGTTGAAGCATCTGACTCATCACACTCAGGTATAGTAGCCGGAGCATTGAACTGACGATGATGAGTAGGACTCGCCGGCGCAGAGACAGCGTAAAACGGGTAGTTAAAAGACTGTTTAGCAGCAATGTCCATGGACTGTTTGGTGAAAGACTCCCAAGTGGGTAATGTCTTTTGGTGTTTAGATGAAGGGGACGAGACAGGTGGTGTGACGGGAGCACTGTTTGAGATCCTGAGAGGAGGAAGAGACGAAGGGATCCCACCGTTTCTGAGGAAAGGGAAGATTGTGGAGATGTTGTTGTCACGAGAAGGGCTTGGGAATGAAGAGGAAGATGGACTGACTTGGTAAGAAAGGATGGGACTTTCGAATGGGCTTTGGTTATATGATGAGTAAGGTGTGGCTCGTGAGGATGATCCTGCCACGTCACCAGGAAGAAGAAGAGGAGGCTTGTGTCCCTGTAAAGGAAGAAACTTTGGATCAAAAAAAGATCATTTTTACTAAGATCTATATATAGTAAGCCAGATCTATATATAGAAACTTCCATTTAACTGATGTAAAAGATGTGATTTTTTAAGATTCGGACAACATTTCAGATCTAAAAAAAGTCACCTTGCGATAAGTGGTTCCGTCTTCTTCAACAACCCAACCAGCTTCGGAACAAAGAGCTTTGAGGACTTCGTTGTTGTCGCAGTGTTTGGGAAGATTGTAGTTACCTTGAGCTCTAAGTCCGGTGTAAATCTTCGCAGCTACAGCTCTTCTCCTCCTCTCTCTTCTCCGATTGTTCTCCCTCTCTCTCCACGACGGCTTCCTCCTCGTCGCCGCCATCGCTGCTGCTGACGTCGACGTCGCGCCGTCCGACGTCATCTTCTTCTTCCTCCGAACACGATCGCTGCTTCAGTTTGTGCGCACGGTCTGGTGAAGAAGATGGAGATGAATTATAAATAGAATCTTTTTCGTTTTTTAAAGAAAAAAGAAATTTACTGGTGATTTGATGTGAAGTGAACACGTGACAATCTAAGTTTGACGAACGGTGAGAAGAGCAGTGGCGTACGTAGGTTACTGTGTGGTTTTGCGTAACGAATCAGTTGAGGCAGTACGGTTTTAATGTGTGTTTCTCTCGATCTGTGTAAAATGACCAGAATTATAAAGAGAAAAAGATGGTGAGACATGTGGGGCATGTTTATTAAAGTGGGTCCCTTATAAGTATGACCGGAAAACAACCCATCTGATTGGTTTTTCAGACATGTTAATTAGAAAACAAATTAGTTTAAGCCTCAGAGTATTTTAATTTAAAATTTTAATTGTCATATTAGAGACTATGCTATGGTATGAACAAAGACATAAGAAATGTTGATTTTGTTCGGGTCAGTGTGTATGTTATCATGTGCATATCAATGATTGCTATTCTTTTTATTTGTTTGCTTTCTAAACAAAATAATTTAGTTGATAACATTTGTGACAACAAAGATATGCAAGTCGGTTGTTGATACATGATTCTGATGAATAAGATTTAAATTCTTGTTTAAATTAGTTGAAATTTTCATCAACACTATCACAATATTTATTCACAGAAACATTATTCAGTCAAGCTGCAAAACTTTCATGTTTGGAATGTATCTGAAGGATTGTGTCCTTAATCAGAGTATTGGTTTACTTAAGAAGATTAGAAGATGGTTTAAACCGGTAAAGGTATACCAAGTCAACACGTGAGAATCATGTGTGTTGTAAACGACTAAAGATATAAAGTCGTATCTTCTTCTTCTTCTTTAGAGTAACGAATAAGACGATCTTGTTGAGATGTTGTAACAGATCGTCAGNTTGCTAGCTAGGCTAGCCCCGGTGATGTATAGCGGCTCCTCCGGTGGAGGAGTGCGGTGAACACCGGGTAAACAAGATCTTGTGTCTCGTTTTCTTTATCGTTTCTATTCTCTTCTTTCACACAAACGAATCCGATCATTCAACAAAGTAGTTAAGCGATTAAGAGTCTAAGGAGTGGATTGAGCTTAGGATCTTCACAAATTGGTATCAGAGCTGAGGTTATTCAATCCGAGGAAGACGAAGACATCGCGGACGAGACGAAGCAAGAATCGGGAAGTATTATCAGGAGACGTCGCGATTTAAGAATCAGAGGATTCTTGTTTATGAAAGCATCGCCAATTTCGAAAATCGAATCGGGCAGTTGTGACGACGTCGCGAGATGGAAGAAGAAGAAGAAGACGGTGTCAGGTTCTCTTGTTGATTCCAACGGTTGCAGAATCACAAAGAAAGAAGAAAGGATCTTGGTTTATTGGATCATCGAGATTGTAACAGAAACATCGGAGGTAATCTCTATGAAATTTCCGATGATACAAGATGGAGGTATGAAGATGATGATCTTGGGTGCTCTCGTCAGTAATATATGTTGAGCGACGTTAAGCTCATGATCGAGTTGATTTCAAGATTGTGAAATCATGGTTAAGTTAAATCTCTGTTCTCTGGGTTATGAAGAGTCTGTGTTATTGCGAGAAGAATATGAAGCTTGCAGGTTTTGCCAAGGTGACTCAAGTACAGAGAAGTAAGGATCAGAGGTTGAAGAAAGCAGTATCAGGTTGAAGAAGGAAGCTGCTACAACGTTGTGAGACTGAAGAAGAAGATTGATAAATGATTGAAAGCTTGTTCAAATCTCAAGTCTACATCTGCTGCAATCACAAAGTTAATGTGATGATATATGTGTTATTGTTTCTGGATGCTCATGGATGGTTCTTTGAAAAATCAGAGTGGAAGATATGTGGAACACAAGAATTATCTACAGGCTTTATTAGTATTAAGTCAAGGTTAAGGTACAAATCCGGATGTACCTTGATTAAATCTGTTTGGTAAAGGTTTGATATCAGTTTGGTGTTCAAGCACATTCAAGACAAGTAAGCTGTTGAAGTGAGATTCTTTACTCTAGGGGACGCCTTAGTTTTCGAGGTCTCTTTGGCTTATTTGAGAAATGGTTAAGGTCTGTGATATTAAGAAGAAGGGTTACATCTGAGCTGTTATGAAGCAAGGGTTTTACTGCAGTTTGTTGGGTTGTGAAATCTTAGGAGGATCAGAGGTTTTCAGGTTAATGGTTAAGATTTCAGGTTAAGCTTTCAGAGGATCAGTCACAGCAGTAAAGGTCAGGCTTATCGGGTTGATGAGAAGCTTCTGGTTGTAAGAAGAAAGTGTAAGAGGCAGCCTGGGTTAGAGGTATCAGTCGTGAGTTTAGAGCTGCAGATTTATGTTTGTTGAGGTTGCTGTCGTTTTGGTTTGTTAAGTTACATACAAGCTGAGTACTGTCACGAGAAGTGTTGCAGTAAGATGATGAGTTTCCAGGGTATTAAATCATGAAGAAAGTGTTGCAGGAAAAGTTAAAGGTATCAGCTACAGTCTACACAAGAACAAGGAAAGGATGAGAAGATGTTCTCAAAATCTAAAGAAATATGAGAAAAGACTGCAACAAATAGTTTGCAGGGACAGGTTCTCATGTATGGGAATAATGAGAATATTCCTAAGTTGTGGCTGGAGATAAACAATGGCAACACAGCAAGCATGAGTTACTCTTGGGGTGGAGTTCTCAGAGGAGATGAACGTCAAGGTATAAGGGCAAGAGTCATGGTGCTAGACTGATACTAAAATCAGTGGTAAAAGAAACTGGTTGACGTGAGTATGGTTTCTGGTTTTAAGCTTGACACTAGCTTGTGAGTCAAGTAAAAGAAAGCTTGGCTGGCTTAAAGACGACATGATAAGAAGACTCAAGACAGCAAGGAGAAGTCACAGGATATTCATCTGGGGTAATTTTGCAGCATGGTCGACAAGGAAAATCATTATTTCTGCAAAAGGAGATGAGGAATTTTCTGTAAAGAAGATTTCAAAGACTTCAAGTTCTGAGTGGGTTCATCAGAAGGTACATAAGAAGAGTCAAGATTTCAGGGCTTGTCACAGTTACAGTCACTCAAAGAAAGAATGGTCAGAACATTTTCAAAGCTGGTACAGTTGAGTGAAGCATTGAAGTAAAGCGAGTTTCCTGTCAGGTCCTTTGGTGTAAAGAAATATTTTGAAGTGGCTGCAGTTAGAGGACGTGTGTGTCATCAAGTCTGAGGGGTATTATCAAGCAATAATCAATGGCTAAGCAATCTGGTATACAAGCGTGTGCATGAGTTTTCAAAGCTAAAGTGCAGAAGGTTTTAAGTTCTGATAATTGAAGCTAAGTGTGAGAATCAAAACCGAAGTCTGAATGGGTTTTGCTTCAGGTGGAGTCTTGTTACTACATAATTTGTAGTGCACACCAGCAGGTGTTTTTTGACTTCAGTGATAGCTTGGTTTATTCAGAAGATCTCACAGGTTAATTCAGTTTGAGAATGGTTTTGAGGAGATGGTAATCAGCTTGCACGAGTTATCAGCTTCTGGTTGGTTCAGTGTGATAAGATGAACAGAGAAGCAAGTGCAGACATTGTCGTCAGATTAAAAGCTCAACGTGGGTATATGCAGATGGGTCAGTAGTTGTTGGATACTGAGGAGTGTTGTCTGTCATATATGTGATCATCAGAGGAATGCTACATAGTCAACAGTTCAGGGACGTCACTCCAGAGACATCAAGACAGGTATTACTCGACATTATTCCTTAAACAGAACTAAAGTTTTGTTTTGCAGGTTTTACAAAACAAAAGGATACTTAGTTCAAGGTGGAGCTACTTCAGAAGGTGATATAAAATCAAGCAGCTCAAGAATAAGCTACATCAGAAGATAAGGGACTACATAAGCGGTTTGTATAATCTCTGAAGTCAGAAACTGAAGGAGAAAAAGAGCTACGGATTGTGAAGCTGTCTCGAGGGTATTACTTCAGTAAAGATCAGAGATTGTTTTGCTGGTAGTAAGGACAACTACAAAGGAATTCTGAGTTGTTTAAGAGTATCAGTAAGAAGACTTGGAGTAATCTTCTCAGTAAAGGCGCTTGAGGTAAATCAAGTGAAGGTACAAAGATCAGAAGCATGGTAAAATGAAGCTGATGGACAGAGAGAGGTTGCAGTAAAGTCTGGAAGAATCAGTGATGCAAGTACAGAGGTTTTCTGGTGAAGATTGTAGGCGGGTAAAAGGCATTGCAGGTCACAGGTCACTGTAACAGAAGAAGTGTCTCAGGGTATTGCGTTTTTTTTGTGAGTTTGAGACAGGGATAAAGAACGCATCAAGTGGTTAAATTTCTTGGTTGAAGATTTGTTGATGCAGATCAGTTTGAGCAGAAGTTGAGCAGGGATTATCTACATCGAAAGTCTTCTTAATCGAGTTGAGTTAGGCAGCGTGTCCTGCTATCATCAGCAGCGGTGTAGGGTGATGTTCAAGTCAAATATGTTCAGACAAGCAGAGGTGATTCAGTTCTTCAGGAAGTTTCAAACATCATTGGATTCAAGTTTTTGGCAGTATATTTGGTGATTTCAGTTGCAGCAACAGTTAAAGGTGGAGCTTATGGTTTTATCTTGGTGGTGTTGTTAAGTGGTCATCTAAGTTTTCAGGTTATGGAGAATGCCAAAGGAGAATCAGTGAAGATGTTGTATGCAAAACAAGGTTGTGTAATTCTGGTTTTGCAACCTAAGAAGATTTGAGAATTTTAATAGCTCGAGATGGTGGTGTGGTTCACGTCACAGCTAGAGTTCAGTGAGTATATCAAGTCTGGTTTGGTAGTGATCAAGGATTTGAAGGCTGAAGTTTCTGAAGCACAGAGGATCGGTTTAGAGATTCTAAGAGGAAGCATCAAGGAAGTTTTCAGGTTGTATCAAGACTGATACTTATGAACGCTTGGAGCAATTTTTTTTTTCAAAGAAGCGTAGGTGTTGAGTGGTGAAACTCAAGTTGAGCAAGTTTGCTCAGAAGATATGAAGCTGAATGAGTGTTATTCAGGGAGTTATGAAGCTGGATGGGTTTCGTTCAGAAAGATATGAAGCTGAGAAGGTAATATCTCAGGAAACTGCAGGAATATGCAGAGGATGCAAGAAGTTGCAGAAGCGTTGCAGAGAAGTTGAGCGGGTTTGCTCCTAGAGTCAGAAGTTGAATCCGCGGTTATCCACTAGAACAAGAAGCTGATAAAGGACAA